ATCACGATACCGATATCTCGCTCTGGCGCACTTTTTTTTTTACTGAGTCGTGTTGTCTCGCTGTCGTATTTGAACTGTCATCATCAGCGCTGTCAAAATCCGAACGCAAATCATGAGTCGGATGGGTCCATTTTAATATGTAATACACGCATGCAATCTTGACCTATTTCTGATGTCCTTGTCAAACGCACGCCATCAGTGGCGTAGTAGTCATGTTTTCAAGTGTAAAGGAGAGCGAAAAGAGAAAAAAAACGCGCGGAATTTTTAACACATGATCAGTGTGTAAAGAGTGCATGCAGAGTTTCTTCCAGGCATCTCTTCGGGGGGGGCGAAGACCCCCCCCCCCCCCCCCCCCCCCGAAATTTTTTACCGCCCCCCCCCCCCCCGAACGAAATGAAATTTATATAATTTATATAGAAAATATATACTTTTAACAGTGTCCGCCCCCGAAGAAAGTCTACCCCCCCCCCCCCCCCCGAAAATTTCAAGTGCCCCCCCCCCCCGGAGAAAAAAGTCTGGAAGAAACACTGAGTGCATGTGGAGCTATTTCCCTAACTCGTTTTTGTAGGCCTGATGTTTCAGCAGACATAGTGTTTGCTCCATCATGTGACTATGGCTTATTCTGTTATTTTCTATTTCCTTCTATTTTTGCTATTAAAATGAAACATGTTTCTGTCTTGAAGAAACAATCGAAATTTCTTAAGAAAAAGTTCTTTCTCTGCAATCTATTGTGTTTTTTCAGAGTTTCCGTGTTTCTCAATGTTGTCTGGACCTTTTGCAAAGTTCCTACAACCCAATTTGGATCACTCCAAGTGTCTGACTTGTCACTTGTGTTTAAAAAGCCAACAAGCAAAACAAACCATACGAGCCGACCCGCGCAGTGGCGTGCAGACCTATGTAGATGCCCGGGGCAAACTCAAGCGGAAGATGCCCCCCATAAATACATATATATATATATATATATATATATATATACTTTATTTAAAAAATTGTACTTATCTTAATTGAGATGAAAACGTTGACTACAGCCAGCTAAATCCAAATGGAGTAAATGGTTGGAACTTGGGGGGGGGGGGGGGGGGGGGAGGGGTTGGAAAGGGGGGAGACAATTGCGGACGTGTCGTGGTGGGGAGGGGGGGGGCTGTGATGCACTACAAAAGAGTCTCATCCGGTATTGTATTACCACCCGGGACCGCAGGGACAAAAACGCTGTCCGTGTCTACAATTAGGGCATCAGACACGCCTTTATTTATGGGATGTTTCTCTCTTGGCCTGTTAAGGAATTCCTATAGTGTAACCAATACAGGTGAGAGTGTGCATTGAACTAGAGATGTTTCAGATTTTTTCTCTAAACCACTTGGTCAAAACGTCAACTCTTTAAAGAGATGGGTGATGCTAGATACTCTCAAAGTATCTGAACCTTGAATATAACAGAAGTGTACATTGTTTGGCTAAAGCTGCCAGCCCTAAAAAAACAACACTTCTACACAGTGGCGTAGCGAGGTCGGGTGTCACCCGGTGCGGCACTTAATGGTGTCACCCCCCCCCCCCCCAGAGTCGTCGCGACCCTTCCCGGGGACAAACTTTCAAGTTTTCGATTTGCACACCCCCCCCCTCAAACTTTCGATTTGCACCCCCCCCCTCAAGTTTTCGATTTGCAAACCCCCCTCAAACTTTCGATTTGCACCCCCCCCCTCAAGTATATATATATATTTTGCTATTTTTTTGCCTTGGTGTCACCCCCCTAAATGGTGTCACCCTGTGCGGTCCGCACCCCCCGCCCCCCCCCCCCTCGCTACGCCCCTGCTTCTACATCGGACTGTGTTTAAAAATCTACTATGCTATGTCAGACCCTTAATTTAGCTGTAAATTAAATTGTTCTTCTGGCTGCCTCTTTAAATTAAGCCATAGGCTATTAACCTCTTTTTGAAATTGATATTTCAATTTGGAAGGATACGCCTTTTGATACAAATCATTTAATTTAGCATATTTCGCGGTGTTTTGACTAGCCATTATTTCGCACACTTGTAGTCGCATTGACACTGTTATATTACTGAGTCCAACGTTGATGCTAGTGTGTATTAACGCCCCCCCCCCCCCCTCCTGTCCCACACCTGAACAAGGACAGCGTGCTATGCCCCCCCCCCCTCCACCCCTCTCCCGTCTCACAACTGAACTGGGATAACCCCGCCTACCAAAAATAATGTTAGATTTAATGTGTGGACGTCCACATTGGGCCAACCCCCCTCCCCCTGTCCACACGCGTCCACAAAAGTCAATTTTTTTCGGACCCCCCCCCCCCAGTGTGGACGTCATAAATGGATGACTCCTAATTAAGAAGTGTGAGACTTAAGGACAACTTTAGAATGAAGTTAACTCGGCCCGGCCCAGTGTATCAAAACAGTACGGACTTGAAAGTTTGTATTTAACCGTACACAAAAATCCAAATGGCCATGAATAAAGAATATCATTAGAATAAAAAAAAACAATAGGCTGTGTGCTTAATCAGTCTACGAATGCCGTTACGTCCATCATAATAAATAAGGATGCCCTACAAACATTATGCAATGAATAGAAACATAATAAAGATGCCCGATAAAATATAAAGCGAACAAGGACATAATTACTGTAGGGATGCCCTTCAGACATTCAATAATGAATATAAGCATAATAAATATCCGATAATATATAAACGAATATGGGCATAATTGCTATAATTATATAAATACAAACGTGAATACAAGTAAATTACTTTAAAGATGCCCTGATGATATATAAAATGTATGCGGGCATAATTACTGTTTGGATGCCCTTCAAAAGTATTATGATGAATATAAGCAAATTACATTAAAGATGCCCCTACAGTGTGTAAATTATAATCATGGGCTTTAATACTCTATGGATGACCACAAAGTATAAAATGATTATGGGCGTGTTCTCTAAAAGATGCCCCTACAGTGTGTAAATTATAATCATGGGCTTTAATACTCTATTGATGACTACAAGTGTATAAAATGATTATGGGCGTGTTCTCTAAAAGATGCCCCTACCTACACAAGTATCAGATACTCTATTAATTCAAAGACTGCATACATTTATTCGGGGAATATCAATGACTACTACACCACTACCCTTCACCGATGCCCCTTTCTCCCTGAAGGTTGTACGACACGGACAGTACGATGACTATAGCAGTGCCATGTGTTGATTGTATATACACATTTCGGTGAATTCGGCAAATTGTGATAATTTGATAATTCTGCCTAGGTAGACAAACCTTAGTAGACAGATTTCCTAAAAAAAAAAAAAAAAAAAAAAAAATTTAAAATTCAAAATTTAAAAAAAAAAATCATTTTTTTTACCCCCTTTGGATGCCCCCTTGATGTGGCTGCCCGGGGCCTGGGCCCCCTCCGCCCCCCCCCCCTCTGCACGCCACTGGACCCGCGGCGTATCATACGCCGCTATTTAGTAGTATTTAGTTGTTTTATTTTCTACTTTTCAGTAATTCATAATTTGTGAATTCGACACTGAAAATATTTGCTTTGAAACACTATCAGTAGGTCGTTAAGGACGATACTACCCCCACCCTCCTTTCCCACAACCACTACCCTACACCCCCCCTCCCTCCCGTGAAAGCAGCCTCCTCTTAGTTACTAGGGTTGCCAGATACCTTTTCCGAAAATACTGGACACCTTTCCATCCTTCCCTTCTCATGTATGCCGCAAAGCAGAAGAAGGGGGGTAACAGAGTATTATTCATATACTTGTCCAGTATTTATATTTATTTTATCCTGGACAGTCTGCTCAAATACTGGACTGTCCAGTTCAAAACTGGACACCTGGCAACCCTATTAGTTACCTCCCCTAAGTTTAAAAACTTAATTATCTGCCCCTAGTAGCCGTCACTATAAACCCGGCTCTACGATTTGATTGTTAACATTTAGCGTGTACCACAGCTCACCAGACCATGTAGGGGTGGGGTGGTAGGGAGCTCTTACAGCTTGTTTTCTAGCGTCTCCAAGAAGAGAATTATATATATAGAAGATAGATTATTTGCCTAGTCTTTATATATATATATATATATATATATATATATATATATATATATATATATATATATATATATTATATAGGCCTACATATAAATATATATATGCATATATACTATATAGGGCCTATATATATATATATATATATATATATATATATATATATATATATATATATAAATTTATATCTATATTTAAACCTATATCTATAAATATATTCTATAAATATATTCTTTGACAAAAACTATAGCTTAATAATTGTATTCATTATTTCCGATTCACAAGATACAGTTTTCCTTTTGACTTTAATTTTTTTTTTTTTTTACAAATGTAACGGCCTTTGTATTGGTCTGTCAAGAGATGGTAAATTGATCTAGGCCTAGATCTACTCGTGTTTGAACAGTTTCGTTGAAATCTAGATTCTACTCATTTTAAAAAGGTGGAGAAATGTTTGTTTTGGGTAGATTCTACATAAAAATAACTTTTGTTAAACGGATAGATCTTGCTAGATCTAGATCTAGACATCGTTTGAAATCTTAACGTACTTTTTCTGAATACCATAACCATAGGAGAATAAAATCAATTAGGCCCAGGCTTACTCTAGTATTACTACACTTGTCGTTCAGCGATGGGCTGGCTTTATTACTACGCTATTTATAGACGGGCAACATTTTTTCCCCATTATTGTTTGTGGTTAAGGCAAATGTTTCCTTTTGATCGGGAACAACACGAAACGAAATTATCGGAAATAGATATCTCCGTTAAGTATGACAGAGCCAAACTGCTTTGTGCTTACATTTTTCACTTTATTCTACTTTATAATACGATATATCATAAATGAAAAAAAAACTAATTTTTAATGACATTTTGATCATTTAACAACAACTAATAACACGTAATTCTATCAAAATAAGCTACTTTTCTGTAATGGTTAACATTTTAGCATTTTTAAAAACGTTTCTATTATAAAGAGAATGTTACCCATTCCACATTTTACATTAACTGTTAACATTTCATTCGGTATTCATGGATAACCAACGAAATGGCGGATTTGGCCGAGTTGAAGGTAAACATTTTAGATTAAAATGTTTTCAAAATACTATGATTTTAGTTTTAAAACCTGATAATTTTAACGTGATCCAATGTTATAGAAAACTGGCCATTTTAAAGGATTGTTTTTACTCACCCATTTATTAGTTATGGGCATTTGCATTCTCGATGTGAGAGCAATGTGGCTTGGAAAGTTGCCCATTCCCTTACTCCTATTCCGCTATTTTTTTTTAAAGTAGATTACAAGACGGAACTAAAATTTAGTAAAAATGTACAATTGATTACACCTAATTAGAATTATAAGTAGGCTTTGATTTAATACATATTTTGAATCTAGAGCATTTTTAGTAACTTTATAATTTTTTTAGGGGCCTAGATCTCTAGATCAAGTTTATTATTAGGGCCTATTTTTACCTACTATTTTATATTTATTTTATAATATCAAATAAATAGAATCTATCTGGTAGACTCTAGATCTATATCTAGAATCTAGATCTAGATCTAGATTAGATCTATACTGAATACTATAATCTGATTCATCTATATCATGGAAAAGCAGCATAGGCCTAATAAATAGATCTAATCTAATCTAGATTTGCTATTAAATAGATCTAGATTCTAGAATCTCTAGAATCTAGTCATTCTAGTCAATTCTAGTGGTTTATACTTATACTTTACTTTATACTTTATACTATAGCAGCTAATAGAGGCTACTGGTTTTGGAAAAAAAATGACAAATCATAACAAACTGAGAGATCTAGATCTAGATCTAGTTTAGAGATCTATTCTTCTACTTCTAGATTCTTAGTTCTGGCTGCAATACTTAGATCTAGTAACTAATTAGTTAGTAGCCTATAGCGGTGACTAGATATCTTATACTCTTTTATAGCCTTCTGATCTTTTATTTTTTATTTACTTTGTAGGCCTTTATCTACCAATGCTAAATTTTACCTATAGATCTAGAATCTAGTTATAGACTAATATAGACTGCCTAAATTAACATAGGCTAGGCTTAGGCCTATATTTATTATTTTTATCTATAGGGCCTAGATCTATCTATTTATTTAGATTCCAGGCTGTCACTACATTTTGCAGGGTCTACCAGTGTTTCTTCCAGACTTTTTTCTCCGGGGCGCTGTTGATATTTTCTGGGGGAGGTGGGGGATGGTAAAAGTATGTTTTCTGTATAAATTCCATTTCTTTGGGGGGGGGGGGGGGGGGCTCTGCCCTCCTCCCCAAAGAGCTGCCTGGAAGAAACAAACAAAATTAGAGTAAACATGCCCATAGTGTGAATGTGGTGTTAGGACTAAAATTAGGACCTATTTCTAAATTGATTAAGCCAAATGATTAGGCCAAAGTAGTGTTAGAAACTCATAAAACTGAGACTTTAGAGCATTGAGTTGGTCATCCTAGATTAAAATATAAATCTGCTGTGAGCTCACTTTTATCAGGTCTTTCAAACTGTAAAATTGCAGTTTGTAATAATAATAATTAGTAGACCTGACCATGGCCAGATTATCTAACGCATTGACTTATTTCCTGTCCTTGTGATTTATACCTAGATCTATGTTTCAATTAGGATATGTATTTAGACTTGTTGAATTTTAAATTTTTTAATATAAAATGCTATGACTATGCACATTTTTTATGGGATGACGTAGTCGAATGATAGAGTGTACTACTACTAAACCGAAAGTCTTGAGTTCAAATCCGGATTCAAATCCACCCAGCTCTGATGGGTACCTGACTCACTTTAGGGAAAGTAAATGCTGGGCATAGTACTGTGCTGACTACACTATCGTTTCATGTACAGAGCTCACAGAAACAGGTGAACTCAACTTCACATGCCCCGTGAACTGTTAGGTTTGAAAGGGAACTTTACTTTTATAGTGTTTTTTAACCTTACTTTATTAACTATTTATACAGTACATATCCCTTAAAGTGAGTGTAAGCACTGAGTATATATAACATTAAATTTGTGACTGCATTTAATATTTGCATCTAAACAAGCAGCTTTATTAAATACCAGGAGAAAGATGTTGGGTTTAAAAATATTATTTTTTAAACACTTGACTAAACTTTGCACTCTTTTAAAATGGCACAGTCAGAAATATTGATATTCAGTGATAATTGATGTTTCTTTGGTATTTAGTCCTCTAGTATACATTATTTCTCTTTCAGCAAATGGTCTTGAGTTTTAGAGTGTCAGAGCTACATGTCCTACTTGGTTTTGCTGGAAGAAATAAAAGTGGGAGAAAACAAGAACTTACTCAACGGGCTTTAGCTTTGGTACAGAAAGGTTGTTCTTTGCCAGTTCAAATAAAAATTAGAGAATTATATAGGTAAGTGTTAGTAAGAGTAGAAGCAAGTACAAATTACATTACTAAGACAATTTTTATCACAGATTTTATAAAATTTCTTGTGCCTTTGGGAATTTAAAGGTGTTTTGACCACCAAATAATAAGCTGTATTAATTTATCAGTAAGAACTGTTCTTTTTTGTTTTATAATAAACTTGATAAATGATGCTTAAATTTAAACAATTTTTTATTTACTCAGACAAATTTATCCAGTTACAAAAACGCAATCAGGTTCCCCTCACAAAGAAATAAATATGCCTGTAATGCACAGACATCCAGGTAAGTTTTAATTTGTATACTTTTGATTGAAGGCATTTTTTTTTTTTTGTATTGTTGTTTTGCATTGATCTTCTGTATTGTTTTGTGAATCACCAGTACCTAAAACAGTTAAGACAGAGAAATTATTTCCCCTCTTCCCCAAAAGCATGATTGATTATTGAATTTGCATTAATTTTTTTATATTTAGTTAAAGTAGTTTAGTTGAAAATAATAAGTCTTGAATTTGACTGTTTTATTTTTTTGTTCAAATATTTGTTAAAACCAAATTATAACTAAAAGAGCTGTCTGTAAATGTAAAATTTGGCTCCAACAAATATTGATCAATATTTTCTGTGTTAATCAAAAAATTTCAAGTGCATACTTTTTCTAACATTTTTTCATAGATATTCATTTAAATGTTTTTTTTTATCATTATTTGTCTTTATTAGAGCTTAATTCTACCCATTGCTTAAGGGCAGGTCAAACCCCCAAATTGAAAATTAGGTGTTAGGACTTTTTTGAGTGATGAAGAAGTTGTAACTAACATAAAATATGAAATAAATGCAAAAAAAAATCACTAAAAAGTTATGGTCTTTTGAAAATATTTTCTAAAAAGTGTCATTTTTATGGTAAAATAGCTCAAAATCAGCTCACACTGAAATCACAATAACACAGCTTCTGTTTGTCAGAATAACACAAATCTTTAACATCTTGTAATGTAGGCAATTACAAAAAGGATGAACTAAAACAATTAGAAAATAATAGAAAAAAGGATTTTAGCCAATTTTTTAAAATGTGAGACCTAAAAATTTTCCAAAAAGTAGGGAGTAGACTTAGCTTTTTATTTTATAAAATGTGAAGTATCAAAGATATAGAAATTCTTTAAGTTCAACTTTACAAGCAGTGTTTAGTGAACATGTGTGCAACATTTCAGCTAAATTTAAATATCTTAAGTAGTTTTTGAGTTATAGTGATTTAACTGGTACACTTTTTTTGAAAAGTAACATTTTGAGAAAAACGCTAAATAGTGAAAAATATACTAAATTTGAAAAAAAAACAAGAAAAACTGAAAACTATACCAAAAAATCATTTTTAAAACCTCCCAGTTACAAAAATTGCATCTGGGCCCTCTTACTCAGCAATAAGAACATCTATTTTAGTTAGTTTTTTTATTTTTCTGTTGCAAAATGTTGCTTAAAATAGGGGAATTGAGTCATTACTCTCATTAATTAAAATTTTTTTAAAATACTAGCGGTACGTAATTTGGCAAAATAATTATACAGAAATGTTCAGAATTGAATGTAGATTCAGAAACAATAGATTTTGAGAAATCAACATTTCTGACTTAAATATGTATTTTGGGAAGGTATAACCTGCCCTTTATTAAGTGATTAATTAGTCAATATATTGAAATATTTTCAAATATGAACATTTTTAATTGACTTTTTAAAACCTGCTTTGGGTTTATATAAAATGCTTATCACATAATGGTATACAGAAAAATCTTGTGTTCTTCAAAAGTATGTTTTTTTCTTCTGTACAATAATAAATCAAATGTTATTAACCTAGGTAACAAGTAATAATTAAAATATATTCTCTAGATTATAGATTTATGGCCAAAGAGTAACAGATTAGGTTTATCCTAGGTCTATAAAGAACCTTTAGTTAGTGACCAGTAGTTGAGCTGAGAGATAATAAATGTACTGCATTGAAGTGATTGGATGCATTCTTACTTCTTATACCGCACAGTGGGAGAAACTTGATAGATAAATAAAATATTTTATTATTTGCATATCTATGTAACATTGCTCCATTCGAAAATAAATTTAACGAGTTATTATTTTTAGTTAAATTTAAGTTCGAATCTATATGAAGTCCTGGTGAGATGTTTTCCCTTTTTACCTGTATGAAATCTGCTCCAGAATTTTAATTACTTGTACAGTTATTTTTCAGCATTTCTTTTCAGAACAATGGTTGCAATGAGAATAATGCTAATTATTAATGCATAATTTAGTTTTGGTTGGCACAGTTGATAGAAAAATAGATGGTTTCCATCAAAATGGCTGGTGACAAAATAGTTCTGACAAAGGGATCCCACTATTGTAGCATTGACAAAAGGGCTCACAACAATATGGATAATGACAATTCAGCTGTTAAAAACAATTCCCAACTTGGGAACAGAACAAAACCAAACACAAACAAAAAAAACACACAATAAAAATGCAAACACAAACACAAAAGAAAATGCAAACTCATACACAAACGAAAAAAAAATAACTCAAAAGACAATGCAAATAAAAAAAAAAGACAACGCCAATGCAAATGCAAAAAACTCAAAGAAAACACAAACTCATACACAAACATAACACGCAAACAATAACGCATAACATAAACACAAACTTAATTGCAAACGCATAGTGCTTACAGTCTAGCCCAGTGCGCCAAATAGCACCATGTCGGGGTCCCGGAGGACACCCTTGTTAAGATTTTTCTCACAGCTTATCGCACTCTTTAAAACAAAAGTATGCTCACAGGATAGCCCAGGGCGCCAAATTAGTAAACAGTTATGTTTTGCATTAGCTTTATATGTTTGCCAAGAAAGGTACAATTAGAGCCAAGACTTCTGAAGTTTATTATGTTTTATCTGAGTAATTAATGCAATTTTGATTTATGGCAGGAGCTTAATTTGGTCGTGTGACCTTCATTTAAGGTAGTAGCAAGATGAACAATTAATGCTTAACTATGGCAGATTAAATTAACAAGAGCTTAATTTTCATTAAATTCTGAATGTCCTACAATTTATTTTTATGTCATGGTTGTATGTCCAACTGAAACTGCCTTTTTGATAAGTACCTGTAGTCAGGTACCATACTGGTGGGACCTATGTGTTGGGAATCTTATCAACTGAAGCCATTCTCTGGAACTGGTGCTTATGTTAAGACACTTTTGACAGGGTTGTTTTGTGACTAGCCATTTTGATGATTATGATTTTTTATGATTATTATTTTCCATTGTCTTATACATCAACTGTTGTCTGAAGTCTTTATCTTAATGTTTTCTTTTCATTTGTGTTGATTTTGTAGGGATTGTTGGGTTCCCCCCTGAAGGTTCAGGTAAGACTGCTATCACAATTAATTTGTAATTAAAACATAGAAATTGTTGATTCAGTCTTTAGGGATTGTGCACATATTATATAACATAATTAAAAACATGAACAGGTAAGGAGGTGGTATAGAGCCAAGTTATGTACACTGCATTCTATTCCCTATTTATGGCTTTACCACTGATTTACACTTGAACATTAAAAAAAAACAACTCATTATAAATTATTATAAAGCTTTACAACTGTTTTTAACAATAATAATACTTACCAAGTCATTTCTCCTAGAACTCTGATCTTGTATCATAATTGTATGTGGGGTGGCAGTCTGGAAAAGTTACATAATATTTGGGGTATCATAGATAAAAATGACCTATTATTGTGTTATATAAAATGTGCACAATGCCTTAACCCATCTTGAACTTAATTATTTTGTCCTCTTTTTAAAAAAATTAATACTTTGTTGAATTGATATTGTGGAGAAAATTTACTCTATTTAAGTGCACGAACTTGCCTAATATATATAACAAACACCAAGTATCTTACAAGCAACATGAGTGTTTAAAAAGACCAGCCTTTAGTTGTCAAAATACTTGTATTCACCTTGGAGCTACAGATTTTCCTTCACTTTAGATTAAAAACATTAAGTGAATCATTCTGACAAAGCGGTTTTCATACTTAAAACAGTGGTTGTCTTTTAAATTTCAGCAAAATAGAATTGTGTTGAAATTATGTTTCTCCCCAGGGTCATAATAATTCGACCTTAACCTCTCCCGCTCTTACAATATTTTGAAAAGGGACTGCCTTAAAAGGGGCATACATAATTATGAGTTATCAAGACTATAGTGTATAGTAAAGCAGTATTATTAATATTTTAGTCAACCCAAATTACATTAAATTAGCTAATTTTGCTATATTTGAAACAAAAAGCAACTATTTTAGTTTTTTCAAACTTGAGTTATGTAAATGTAGACATTGTCAGCACTTTATTTCATGTGTCTTAGTTGATAGGGTGTGAGTTTGACCACACTAACACCCAGACGCCCTGGATGTGCTGTAAGAAATCCTTACATCACTATTCGTTAATGCCAGGTAGAACACCCTGAGTGTCATGGGTGTCGCAAAGGTACTCTGCCGCAGGGCGATCTTTAAAAAGAATGTAAGCACCCTAGTGCCAATGAGTGAGCTTGAGGCACTCCTGTTCATGCAATTACCTGGGCTCCGCCCTTCCTATTTAACAATTTTTTATGCCAGAAACTTTCCTGTGGGTGTTCTCAACAACATCCCAAAGTTTCATTGCTATCAGTTGAATGGTGTAGTAATACAAAATATACCTCCATTTTTATATATCTAGATTGAACACTCTTACTGAAATTTTTATAGGCGACCCACACTTTAAAATTTATTTTACCATTGGTGCATTATTATTTATTCAGAGAAATTTTTTATTATGTTCACTTAGCATGTCGTGTGGCTCCACAAATCTTGAAATTAATTTTTTAAAATCTAATTAAAGGCTTTTATTAGATAGACAATTTTATTTAAAAAATACTATATAATACTATTGAAAATAAATAAATAAAAATGCTGGATAACAAGAATAATTACTAACCATTTTGATCAGATGGCCTCAGAGGGTGTTTCCATTTTGTCGTTGTGATTGTGAATATAATAAAAGCTATTTTCTTTAAAAAAAAATTAATGTGTGAAAAATATTTTATTATTACAAGAACATTGCGCTTTCCTCCTAATACCGCAATACTATCATAAATACACTTCTACTTCTTCACAAACCCTCATCAGTACAAATGCTGCCTGATTTTATATTTAACCTGTAGACGTACAGTATTTTTTATATTCTCATGTACATGTAATATTTTTTAAATTTTAAATTACTTTGTTAAGACAGTTATGCTGATGTATTTATATTATTTTTGTTTGTAGGGATAGTAGGGTACCCTCCAGAGGGTCCAGGTAAGCTTGATTTATTATGGTATCTGTAAGTTTCCTGAATAAGGAACTAAAAAGCCTTGTTTTAAATTAGTTAACGCTGGTATTCTAAAAATTGCTTAACCAAGTATAAAAAATAGGTTCATTCTATGTTCAAGCTGTTGCAAACTGTCACAAAATTAAAAACAATTCGGTAATTTTTGTTGTAAAAATTGTTTTCCAAGAATATTTTTATGGTGAATATGTTATATTTGGAAATAACATACAATAATATTTATATCTTCAGGACTTCTAAGGTTTATGAAAACCTTGAGTCTACATTAATCACTCACTAAAATAATGAATTAGAACACATTTCGGTGACCGCCCATGTGTCAGGGACATAGAGTGGCGCTCTCAGCAGCCCCCCCCCCCCGATTACACTTCCGCAGAGGCGCCGCGTTCGGCCCCTGGCTACTTAATACTAACATAGGCGCTATAGTGCTCACAGGATAACCTAGAGCGCTACATAGCATCCTGAAACAATGATGCAGATTGCGTCATTCGCTAAAGTTACACAAATCAACAGGGTTTTTTCTTTAACACGTGGAAATAAAAAAATTAACGTGTTATAAACATTAGTGTGACTGATGCAGTTTGTTAGCGTTACCGATGGTGTATTATTAGAAGCTCGATCTCAATTTCTGATTGGATCGTCTAAAAATAGATGCTAATTGCATCATTCGCAAAGTGACAAAACTGGATTTTTTTTACAGACAAAAGGAAACAACCCATCTAACCTTGGTTGATTTGTCTGACTATTTTAAAAAATGTACTACAAGGCCCTCTGCGGCCCACGTGAGCCCTTGTGGCCGAAACTGAAATTTTTGTTCGCAGCCAAATCGCGGACACGCCATATTTAATTTAGTGAGTGACTCTAACGCCCCATGTTATCGATTGTCTATCGCACTGTTTAGAACGTACGTAGTCGCCATAATACACGGGAAAGACCAGGGCGCCAAATCGCATCGTGCGGGGGGGGGGGGGGGGGGGCGCCAGTGCGAAATCAAATCCCCCCAGAAACCCTCTCGGGAGTATTCATCAACTTCCTAATGTTTTATGGCACTCGGATAAACGGTGTCAAACTGCATCCGACTTTTTTTTTTTTAAAATATATCGCACTAGCCGTCCCGGCCAGGCCCTGCTCTGGCTTCTGTGAAAAACCTTTCTGTTAAAGACCATTACCTGTGTGTTTAGTAATCATCATAAACCCGGCATTGCCCACCCAAACCACAACCAACCAAAACAACAAAACGCAAACATAACGCTAACACAATTACAAATACAAACGAAAACAAAAACCTAACAACAAACCCAACCACAAGCACAAACACCAATACAAACACAAAGAAAAAACAAACAAAAAAGCAAACAAAAACAAAAACCTAACAACAAACACAACCACAAACACCAATACGAACACAAAGAAAAAAACAAACGAAAACAAACCAAATCCAAACGCAAAACCAACCACAAACACAAACCCAAAGAAAAAAACAAACGAAAAAGCAAACGAAAACAAACCAAATCCAAACGCAAAACCAACCACAAACACAAATACAAACACAAACCCAAAGAAAAAAACACAAACGAAAAAAGAAAGAACAAAAACGAACCAAATCAAAACGCAACCACTAACGCAAACCCAACCTAAACACAAAGAAAACACTAACGCGAACATAAACGCAAAGTGCTCACAGTCTAGCCCGGGGTAGAATCGCCTGTTTCAGCTTAATAATCGACTACAGTACCCCAACTTATTCAGTCTTTTGCACTCACTTAAACGAACGTAGGTGCCAAACCAAACCAAATGAACAATTATAATACTCCAAGCTTATTCGTAAAATACCTACAACATTTCCACTTGATCAATCCCCGCTAATTATGTAATTATTTTTTTCCTAACAAAAACAAAGTAATAAAAAGTAAATTCTTTTCCACCAATGCAATGTTTTATAAAGGGAAGTAATTGTTTTCCTAATTTATCAAAGGAAAGTAAGTGCTAAACGACTAAATATAAATAATTTTCAGACATAATTAGAATTTTTATTTTTTTAAAATTGTGTTTAATGAACATGCCGACAATTATTATTATCAGTTTGAAAAATTAAAATTATTTCCCAACACTTTCAATAGTAATTTTTTAACTCATAAATTTAGAATATGAGCACGATAATAGTCTAACACTTAAATCCATAGAAGTATGTCAACGACAAACAAACTTGTTTTTACATACAGAATTTAGCTTTATATATTAGATATAGAGAAAAATCGCACCATCCCGCGGCGCCGCCCTTGTGAAATTAAAAAAAAAAAAACATTTTTTTTTACTGAAACCTCACCTGAAGTGTTCTAATCAACTCCCCATAGTTTGATGGCGATCGGATGAACGGTGTAGTAATGCATAAAAGACAGACAGACAGATACACACACACATACTTTGCTTTTTATATAGATAGATACAGTTGCATGACTAAAAACCATTGCGCACCTAATGAACATGACAAAGCGCGTATAATAGTGCGGAGTAGTTGGGTAAGGACAGCCTACTAATTTGGAGACATTATATTTTAAATTAATTCATAAAAAATTAATTAGGCATCCAAATAAGTCAAATTTAATGGCAGATTGCATTGTCTTCAATGTCGCGTGCCAACTTTGAACCGAATCTGTCAGAAGTGCCCGACAGAGGAAGCAAGTTAAATAAAAGATTTTTTAAAACAACAAAACAACTTAGACCCTAAGCTTGAACAATTTTAATTTTTAAAAATTAAATCTATAATAATAGTTTCGCTGTCTCTCTATCTATCTATCTGTCTGACAAGAACGCTCTGTCTGACAAGAACGCTCTAGAGAAAACACAAGGAATTTAAAAACCTGCACAGTAATTCGAAAAACGAAATATGACGTCGACACATTTAGCGTAGAGTAGAACATAATCTCAAACCAGAGAGTGCACACAGTAATGTAATGACGTCATTGAAACATTGAAAAAAAGGAAATGTTGTCTAATCTAAATGGTTTGCGTGAAGAGTTTCTTGCATACAATTCTTCGGGTAGGGGCGAAGCCCCACCCCCGCGTAAGAACGTCTGAGGGGGGTGGGGGTGGGGGGGGGGGGGTTGAGTGGGGGGGGTGGTTTTAATTTAGACTTTTTCCTCCCCGGAGAGGAGTGGGGGTACTTGAAATTTTCGGGGGCGGGGGTAGAATTTTCGGGGAGGGGCGGACACTGGAAAAAGTATATAATTATATTTCGTTGAATGGGACGGTAGACATGTTTTTTTTTGGGGGGGGGGGGGGGGGTGGTGTGTGTGGGGGGTGGGGGGTGGTGTGTGTGGGGGTAGGGGTGGTTTTAGTTTAGACTTTTTCCTCCCCAGAGAGGGGTGGGGGTACTTGAAATTTTCGGGGGCGGGGGTAGAATTTTCGGGGAAGGGGCGGACACTGGAAAAAGTATATAATTATATTTCGTTGAATGGGACGGTAGGCATGTTTTTTTTGGGGGGGGGGGGGGGGGGTGGAGGGGTGGGGGGGTGGTGTGTGTGGGGGGGGGGCGGTGTGTGGAGGGGGTGGTGTGTGTGGGGGGTGGGGGGTGGGGGTGTGGGGTGGGGTGGGGTGGGGGTGGTGTGTGTGGGGGGGGGTGGGTTGGTTTTAGTTTAGAGAAAAGAGACAGCACTATCAAGCTAGCGCCCGGTGTATCCTTCCTCAACGGGCCATTTTTCTCGTGTTTTAAGAATCACGAATAGACTTTTTATAAAAGTTGCAAATGTAGAGAACTTGAAAATATATTTTTTTTAAGGCAACATTTATTTTTATCAAGCCAAAATCTGTACAGGAAACTCGGTAATCGATCACCCAAAACACCATCTATTTTGAACTCAAAACTTTGCCGATGAAATTTTAAAATAAAATTATTCGTTTAGACAACATGGCTTAGTTAGTTAGATATTATCTAGATCTAGAATCTGGAGTCTAATAGTTAAGCCATTAGTCAGTGACAAAACGTGTGTGTAAATATCTTTAATTGTTTTTTTTTTTTTTTTTGCTATTTACTAGATCTAGAAATCTAGATCTAGTTCTAAAAATCTAGATCTAGATCATCTAGTTGAAAAATAAAATCTGATGAATGGGCCTTCCCATTAATTTTTATCGACCAAAAGTCTATTGAGTAATAAAGAGTAATAACGTTTTTTTTTTTAATTAAAGAAGAATCATTGGGGAAACGAGTTTAAAAAAAAGTTCCAATTATACAGCGATGGTCTTGATGCTTCATAGTAGGCCGTTAGGGTTAGGGTTATTAGGTCATCGGCCTAAGCCCTAAAGGCTAAAGGTAGGCTAGGGCACAATGTGTAGTAACTTGGGAACCGGAAGTAAATCTGGTGTAGTAGGCCTATTATTTGCGCATACTCCTTGGGCTGTTCCGCTGTACGGAAGTTGGAGACTAGATCTGTACAGCCTAGGCCTACTTTAAGTTCCATGGTAGAGATTGTCTAGGTCTAGCATAAAATGGCATACCGCAATAGTGGAGGTAGCGGTCGGAACAACGTCAACAAAAGAAATGTAGTTGATTATAATATGAAACAGCACAGTGAGTAATTTGTTTGGATATCTAGAATAGATCTCTACGTTCAAATTTGAAATTTAGAATCTAGGCCACTGCCACTTGGCTTATTTTTTTGGTAATCTATCGTTTTAGGTACGTAAAATCGCGCGCGACTTGTAATGTGAAAAACAGGTGACTCCTTAAATTTTAATAATTACATCATTTCACATTTTGAGAAGGATTTATGTTTTTTAAAATACAAAAATGGTTCCTTGTTTCATTTATGTATCTGTTTTTAAACAATAGAGTCCTTGCAAACACGTGACCTAAATCACGTGATACCTACGCCCGCCGCCACAGTGGTGTACATCAGACGTAAACACAATCAGCTGTTCGCCAGCGCTGGACGTGTTCACCAGAGCTGGACGTGTTCACCGCATGTAAAGAATCGCGACCGCGGAAAAGGAAAAATACGTTAAAAAACTTGAACTCTTAGGAATTGAAGATCCTTATACAGTTATTGACAGTTTCGTGGATAATATAAATATGTGGCCGAAATTTCTAAATAAAAATACTGTTAGTAATACCGTTTGCGTTTAGAGTTTAAGTAGACGAATCTGATCAAATGCAGTAATATATTAGAGGTTATCTACTGTAGCAAACGTGAGACCACTTAACTCCTACAAAACCCACACTACAACGGCTAATATAATCCATGGAATAACCAATCTGGGTAGCATGTTATACAATTTAAGACCCTTATAATCCAGCAGGGAAGTAATCAGACACATTAATATTGACGTTCAACCCTCACGATGGCTGCCCCCACCTGTATCTAGCCCACAATAAAACCAAAGAGGAGTCTGCCCTGCCCTCCCCTGAAAATGTCTCACCTCCGTGATACCCAGCCCCACAGAGATAGTATTTCTTATATAATTTTGACCCTCAGGGCCCAGCAGGGAGAACAAAAGGGAAAGTCCCACTGCTCTCCCCTCAACGCTTCTCACCTCGGTGTCATGTTATGTCATTTATAGCACACACGGCTTATCAGGGGAAAGCATTAAGGCATTAAGAATCTTAACTCTGGACAGCTACACACTAGTATACTAGCTACACACTAGGTGCCTACTGTAAACTACTAGACTGTAGGCCCTATGTAGACCTGCAATTGTATCAATTGTAGACTGGGTCCATTGTTATTATTCTAAACCATCTCACTTATAATGTTTCTAGCTTGATTTGTTTCTTTTATAAACAGTGGATTTAAAAAAAAAAATTAGCCTAATCATTAACCAAATAATAATAATGTGGTTATTTGTTGTTGGCTGGTATGATCTAGAATCTAGATTGTACTACTAGGCTACAAAAACTTAGTAGACCAATTACTAGATATGAATTTGAATTTAATTAAACTCAGTCCAGTATCAGATACATATTGCTGTAAAAAGACAACAAAGTAGTTAGGCCTTAGTAATTTATTAAAGCCTTCTACTACAATAATATCAACTACATGCTTGTATAAAGTTTTTACAATTTAATTTAAGTAGCAGATTCTAGATCTAAGTCTAGTCATATAATCTATTTCAATTTCAGAAAATTTCGTTTGCTAAAAAAATGATTAGATAATACTAATAGAGCGAGATTTTAGATCTTAGAGACAATTAAATGCTTTATTAGGCCTATTATGACTACTTTTGATTTATTATGGTAGTATTTTGAATCGAATGTAGATCTAAAGTAATTAAATTTAAGTAAAGAAGTAGATTCTAGATTCTATGTCTACCCAGCGGAGCCAGGTATTAGGCCTACTATTAGATCTTATTATTCTTATTAGCCTATTACTTTTGACTTTGTCTTTTACTATATATTAGTATTTGTGAAGGTCGAGCATATTTGTTTTATTAATTATTAATAGTTATCTTTTATAATTAAAATGAAGTTTATTATTTTACTGTCCTTACCTGAAACAAAGTATCGAGAACTGCATTTGATCAGATTCGGCTACTTTAACTCTAAACGCAAACAGTATTACTAACAGTATTTTTATTTAGAAATTTTGTCCACATATTTATTTATACGAAACTGTCAATAACAGTATAAGGATCTTCAATTCCTAAGAGTTCAAGTTTTTTAACGTATTTTTCCTTTTCCGCGGGTGCGGTTCTTTACATACAGTGAACGCGTCCAGCGTTGGTGAACATGTCCAGCGCTGGCGAACAGCTGATTGTGTTTACGTCTGATGTACACCACTGTGGCGGCGGGCGTAGGTATCACGAACGGACGTGACGTCATATGAAAGGACTCTATTGAATTAGAAATTTTCAGTAGGCCTAAGATTAGGTACTAGATCTAGATCTAGTAGTTTTTCTCACTAAATCTAGAATTTACGCAATTATCAATTTAAACATGACCACTGAATAATAGACATCCATATTTAATCCATTAGGCACTAACTTTGGAGTTTTTAGTTCGTTTTTAACTAAATTACTTAATTTAATATTTATTGTCAATCACTGCCATGTCCAACACATCTCTCCATGACAACTCTTCTTAAGCTTGAAGCTAAAGAAAACCACAAATCAAGTTAGACTTTTTAAGTGGCCATGCACAAGAGTTCCTCACTAGTGATCACCAAATAGTGGTCACGTGGTTTTTTTTTTTCAAAAAAAATTTGGTTGTCATTTTTTCGGCTGGTCTCATAAAAAAACGGTTGACGATATTTGATTTATTTTTTCATAGACTGATAAAACTAATAATGCTTTAGTATGGAAATCAATTTTGTAATATGGAAATCGATATTTAAAAAGTTCTAGTATTTTTGATGAAACCAACTTTTAAATTTAGCCTTCATTCTCCAGCGCAAATTTTAAAGTGCTTTTCTGGCATATATAGCCCTGCCACCTATAGCTTGTTGTTATAACGTGAAAGTCCCGCCATTTTGCGCGTGGTAAACATTTTAAAAACTAATTAGTAGAAGGTCTCTGGAATTTGGCCGAAAAATCTTCGGAAGTCAAGCGTCCAGTCCGGGCGCCATATTGTTGTTAGCAACCGACCATGCCTCCAAGTTAGCGAGTAATAGTGCCTAAGATGATAATAATTTACTAATAAATGAAGACTAGCGATGTTTCCAACAGTCAACAGATGCAACCATGCTCATTTACTATTGCAGCCATCTTGTTAAAGTTTTATTTTTATAAAGTACAAGCCGACCCACGGTGTATCATACGCCGCTATTTAGTTGTTGTTTTTTTACTTTTCAGTAATTTATAATTTGTGAATTTGACAGTACCAATGGTGCCACTGAAAATATTTGCTTTAAAACACTAAACACCTCCCCCGTGACAGCAGCCTCCTCTTAGTTACCTCCTCTAAGTTTAAAATCGTTTCAAACTAAATTATCTGCCCCTTATAGCCGTCACCAAACCCAGCTCTACGATTGTTTTGTAAACATTTAGCGTGAACCACAACTCACCTGACCATATGGGGGGTGGTAGCGATAGAAAGAGGGGACTTCAAGGCACGCTTGCAGCTTGTTTTCTAACGTCTCCCAGAAGAGAATTATATATAGATAGCGCAAGATTCAGGGGGAAGCCACTCTATTTTACAAATGGCTGCTGTTTATAAAGCATGGCTAAATATATCAATATAGGCCAGAAATTAACTTTAAACAGCAGTGTTTGCGAGCGATATTTGCTATATAAACAACCATTTGTAAAATAGAGTGGCTTTCCCTGAATCTCACACTATAAGTTTACAAAAAAAAATTAAACAAGATGACTGCTATAGATTTAGTAAATGAGCATGGTTACACCTGTTGGAAACATCACTAGACCTAGTCTTTATTTATTACTGAAAAGTTTTAATTCAATTGTTTAAAGTTTAAAAACAGGTATATAAATGAAAGAAACATTTTTGTATTTTTCAAAACATAAATCCTCCTCAAAATGTGAAATAATTATTAAGATTTAGGGCCTAAGGAATTACCTTTTTTCACATTACTAGTCGCGGGCGATTTTACGTACCTAAATCAATGGATTACCTATTTTTCTAGAATTAGATATCTAGATTAAATTTGTTTTAAAGCATTTTAGTCTGTTAGATTTAGATTCTATACTTTAGCCTAGGATTCGCCTATCACTTTTCAAATGCAATAGTTTTCGTTTTCAGAGTAACTGTACTGTAAGAGTCTAAGACTCTAATTTACTCTAAAGTAAGGTTGTCGGCATCTGCCGATTTCACGGTAAAAACATGACCCGAAATCTCCGATTACTTTCTGATACAGGCCCTCAAGATTTGGTTTTGCATACTAATAAGTTTTTGATTTATGGTAATTAAGTTAAAAGGTAATTTCCTAATGTTAATATTAAAAAGTAGTGGTTTTCCTTATGTTTTGCGATCTGATTGCATTCTGTCTCTGCTTTAGTCTTACTCCTGTATTATGTTAGTTTCAAATGTGCTAGCTAGTATTAACAAGATCAATATTTTAAAATTATTTCCAAATTTAACCTATTCTACTCCAAAATTGATAAAGCAGGGTACTAGGCACCACACTTATTGGCATCTGTTCAGTACATTTTTGAAGATTTCTAATCTTAAGAATTTTCTTATATTGAACATAGGCTACTGCAATTTTCTTTTAACTCTCACACAGTGTAATCAAAATCCTAAGAAGGGAGTAAATATAGTAGTCAATAGGTCATATAATTTGCATGTTTAATTGGTGTGTATTGTAAAAGATCATATAAATATAATATTCTGACTAACAGTACCAGTTTTCTTAAATGTGATTGCACAGAGTTAATTTTTTAGCTATGTTACTTCAAAAAATATAATTTTTCATAACTTTTGACAAAAACCATCTTTTTTTAGACTGTTGCATTTTTTTCATATTTTATGTTTGTTACAAACATTCTTATCACTAAAAAATGTCCTAATACATTCCCTTAAGAATCCCTTGTCCTCCTTTGGGTGAAGTGATTGGTTTTTCAACTCACTTGAGTTCTCTGTTTGAACTGCATTCTTTTTGTCATGGCTAAGCTGCCATATAAAACAGTATGTAGGCCTAAAAACGTAACAACTTTTAAAGGCAGACAGCACTTTCTTCCTTTAACTAATAACTATTTAAAACATTTTTTTTAGTTGCAGTCGGAATGGACTATAGCGCTGCAATGAACAATATGAGATCTATCATCCCCCAGCCTCCCATACCAGTCAATCCAGATGTTAAATTAAAGCATTTACCATTTTATGATGTTCTTGCAGAACTTATGAAACCTTCAAGTCTCAGTAAGTTTACTCAAGTTTACTTTAATCTTAATTAAATGTAAATTAAGATCTATCTGAGCATTATTTAAGCTTAAATATTAAAAATAATTTTTGCAGTACCTAAAAATAATGGGAGGATGCAGGAAACGCTTTTTGTATTTCATCTGACACCTCAGCAAGCGCAGGATATAACTATGTCAAGGTAAAACTTTTATTTGTTAGTTCTTTTCTTAACTTCACACTAACATTATTTTGATGTTTTTCGTAACATTTTAAACAAAATACATGATAAATACTGTCCCTCCAAAAGCAGAATTGTTTTGTTTTTTTTTAACAAAAAAATTATTACTGTTCTCCATCTAATTTTCTTGAAAGTTTGTTCAGCTTTTTCAAATTAATAAAGAATACTAATTAATCAAATTGATAAAAAAGAGAAGCGAAACAGATTTTCTCCCTTTAGCACACATTTCCGTTGACTTACAATATTTACAAGTATAATCTTTAAGTAGATTTATTAGTACTAACTTAACTATGAAAGAACTAACTAGATCTAGGATTTTTACTTGGTAGGACTCATCTTAAGTTTATATTTTGGCCTATTACATATGAAACTTTCAGCATTTGTTGTTCATATGGTCTAGAACAGGGGTCTCCAAACTTTTCAGTCAGAGGGCCGCATCAACTATCAAATTTCAGTTCGGGGGCCAGTTTATTCCAGGCATGTCTTTGATTTTTCTGGGCAAAGTGCCTCAGCCATCGCCAACTAACGATTTTTCCTTGGACAAAAAGATCTCTGCTGGCCAGATGAGAGGACTTCGCGGGCCGCAGTTTGGAGACCCCCAGTCTAAAGCATAGCAAGACAGGAATAATCAAGTCAATAATGTTATCTTCTTCTTCGTTCTTAATTTATCTGCCAGTGGGTTTGAACTCGAGACTTTGTTTGAATTTATCAACCATTAGCTTTTTGCTGACTCGACTACGCCTCCAACACAATTAAGCGTTACGTGTCAACTGGTTATGCACCATTGAGGTCATTGACTCCGTTTTAGCCTGCTGTTCTCTTTGGATTTGCTTCCATAGCCTTTGTCCAACCAAGAACAAACTGCAAGGCAGCAGTTGTTTTAATTTTGGAGTAGTCTCTCCTAGAAGAGTGGCTGTCCCCAGCTAACGAGCCTCATCTGCCCGAGGGTTAGAACTCGAGACTTTTTGGTTTAGCAACCATGAGCTTTACCGACTCGACCTCGCCGACCCCTAATAATGTTATGTTAAAGCTATGGTTTTTGATTTTATTATGGGGGTGGAGAGTGGGGGTTGTCAGGTTACTGGTTAACTTTTTAAAATGTAAGCGGATATAAAGGGGTATTTAGATATAGCCTAGATACAATATGCAATATTTTGCTACAGGGATTTCCGCCCGAATGCTAAAAATGAATACACAGTTCAAGTCCAGGTTAGGTTCTGTTTACTGGAAACAACATGTGAGCAAGCAGACACTTTTCCGTCACAAATCCAAGTTAGAGTCAACAACAAACCTGCTACGTTACCAGTAAGTTTATAATTTTGTACATTTCAATATTTTTTAAAGCCTGAAAATTAAGTTTGAAAGAAAAGGTGTCTAACATTTTTTTTAATCAGCTTTGTGATTGCTAATTACAGAATGTTATTCCCACAAATAAACCCAATGTAGAACCAAAGAGGCCTGGACGGCCTGTGGACATCACCAATCTCTGCAGATTGTCACCAACAGTTTCTAATGCCATTACTGTTGCGTGGGCTGCTGATTTTACTCGGGTATGTGCTCTTCAATATTTGCTGGAACAATAAAGTATTCGCAAACTTTCTTTTCAGCCTAAACCATTACCCCTCCATAACAAAGCACCACCCAAAAAATACGGAGGACCTATAGATGTCTCTGCTCTTTGTAGGCTTAGTCCAACTAAGCCTAACAATATTATCGTGTCGTGGTTGCCAGAGCAGCACTTGGTATCTTTAGTTTCTTGTTGCTTTGTTGAAAGCTAACTTTTTTTGTTTGCATTGTGCATGTAATTTTCATGGACTGTTTGTTTTTTTTTCCTTTGTTTTTATGAGGTTTCAAAAGCCAGTTATGGTTTCTGTTTTGCAGCTAACAAAAAAAAAACTTTGAACAACAAATCAAACTGGTCACGAATACATTTTAAGCTTTATTGGTCATTTTGTTTTTTACCATTATATTTGAAAATTCTATTTACAACACATTATTATAAACCGTTTAAAATAAGCAATATATGTATAATGGACTAAGTCTTTCAGATTTTGTAAGTAGTATAATTTAACCTTCTTGCACGATATCTTTATTCTATTAATAGAATCAATAATAATAAAATTTTACAAATAATGTTTAAATAATATATAATAACTAACGTTAATGTTCCATAGTATTTACTTATTTAGTTGTTTTTTTTATATTATGCAACTAAATATCTATTTTTGCAAATACAAATTGCTGCTGGATTAAATGTGGATATTTTTACTGTAAATTAAAAACATTTTTTTTTTGTTTTTCAGAGTTTTTGTATGGCTGTTTATCTAGTCAGAAAACTTACATCAGATATTCTTCTGACCAGATTAAAACAATTTGGAAATCGCCATTCAGATCACACAAAGGCGCTCAGTAAGTTATAGTTGTTAAGTGAAATAAAATTTATCCTGGTAATAACTGTTCTGTACATGTTGATTCTGAGTAAACTTTTTCAGAATATCTTTTTATTAAAATTGCAAGCTACTTGAAATTTTATTGCTTATTTATAAATACGTATGTTCTGTAAATGTATGATTGAAACTTCTTTTAAATGTTTTTTTTTTAAATTAAAAAATTGACATGCATTAATTAAATTTTCTTTCAGTCAAAGAAAAGCTAGCTCAAGATCCTGATAGTGAAATAGCCACTACTAGTCTCAGAGTATCATTAATGTGCCCAGTAAGTTTTGTATGTTTGAGTCTAGCTAAGTTGTCTTTTAATCATTATTATTTAGCCTGTGATAAAGGAAACAGATTAGATTGGCTATGAATTTTAAAAAGGAAATTATTCCTATTTTTAAATAGGTGTAAATATAAGAAGTTGATACTAGGTTTAAACTAGCTAGTACAGTTATTGAATACAAAAAACATTTCACTAATGGATGGTTAGTTTAATTTTATTTGTGATATACTCAAAATTTAAAAAGTAATACCAAGTGTATGCTGTTGTGTATTATCAACTAGCTTGTGGTTATCTTTTTTTAGAACATGAGAAATATTTTTTAGTGTGAATTAACCAAATGAATAAACCATGGTTCAAAATCATTACTTAAATGCAACACTGCTTTTAGTAAATTATAGCATTTTAAGTTCAAATTCTTCACTTTTTGCAGTTAGGTAAGATGAGAATGCAGATTCCTTGCAGAGCTAGCACTTGCACACACCTTCAGTGCTTTGATGCCTCTACATTCTTGATGATGAATGAGAGAAAACCTACTTGGATGTGTCCAGTATGTGATAGACCCTGCCCTTATGACAAGCTCATTATTGATGGGTATGTGTATTTTTCACAACAGTGATTACTTACTGTTGTGAAATTAAGCGAAATGTATGTTATTTAATAACTTCCCAGGGATGTGACTTTTCTATTTTAAATTTTATTTTCTCGACTATTTAAAATTTGTTCTTGGCAGTTTTTTTTTTTTTTTTTTTGTGCAGTTTTAAAAATTAGAAACAAAAATGGAAATGACTGCTAAAGAAACAGCGGACATAGGCATTCCACCTATTCCTATTTAAATTGAGTCTTAGGCTTGATCTGCAGTGCAGATTTATTAGGTGAAACTGTCAATCGAATAAACGCATTTCTTTTCATTTGGACGATTGCGCTAAGTCTGTACTAGACATATTAAATGTAGGACAAGATTTCCAAACTTTTGAGAATGCAAATTCTTTTAGTCAGAATTTTCCGCTGATATTTAAGTTGAATATTTGTCCAAAATATGTAAAATTGTAATCTAAAATATTAAATTATTCTCTGGGATTTTAGCCCACCATCTGTTTTTAAAGCTACCCAAAATCTAGTTTCTCTCTGCTTCATTTTGCAACCTCAAATAAAATTTGAAACTGAATTGTTTGTAAATATAACGATTAATAAAATTTGAAACCGAATTTTCAGATACTTTGTGGAGATATTTCGTCAGTCACCATCCTGTACTGATATCATATTTCATGAAGATGGTAGCTGGTCACCCATGAAACCACAAAAGGAATCATCAAACCAAGTCATTCTGACCTCAACACCAAAAGTACCAGTTCCTACTTCTACATCATCATCACCTTCCTCGTTATCTTCTTCATCGTCAACACACTCAAACACATCAGGTACATGTTTAGCTGAATTATCTAAGTAAATTTTAGTTAATATTTAATGGGAATAAGTATAGTGGGCGCTGCAATATAATATTCCATATTTCTTTTAAAATGTCAGTGAAATTGATAAATTAATAATTTGTAATCTGTAACATTTCCCTGAAAACACATTTCTACCTGAAAATTCCTTGTATTAGTGAGTGGTAGTGTCCCTGACATCTTAATGGGTGCTAAAATACAGTCTGTTTTCTAGTTTGTGTTATACATTTTTTAAAACAAAAAGCTAGTTAAGTATGTTTTATTCTTTTACTGTTTCATGTTTAGTTGAAATAATCGATTGAGCAATTAAGTTGATTTTATTTCTACATCAGTATTACAAGTGTGTTGTTAGAAATCAGAATTTCCTAGAATTTCTCACCTGAAAGTACATTAAATTTTTTTTAAAAGGAATGAAAACTTATTTAATTTTATATTTGATATTCACTGGTAATCTTACAAATTCAGGATTTATTTTTTAAATTTGTTGCTAGGATATTCTGATTCTTAATAACTGATGATTTTTAGCAAATTATTTTTGAGGGTTTTACTTTGACTTAAATTGCTCTCTCTTAATTTCATGAAATAACAAACCAGAAATGTGTGTAGACTTTGTTGAGGAAATGAATTCTCTTATTATTATTAGCAGCGATGACAGCGACTCAGCCGGCAGCTGCTAAACCTCCTGAAGCCAAAGGACCAGTGATTGACCTGACTCTAGACAGTTCAGATGATGATGATGACTCGGTGATCCCTAGTGACCCTGTCAGCGTCAGTCCTCCACCAGTCATCAACCTTGATACCCCCTCACCAGCACCACTCCCCACGATGCCCGGATCCCCTACTGTCATACTGTCTAATTCGCAGTCATCTTCGCCCTCTCCTGCAATGGTTAGTCATACACAGTCCCAATTCCCAACCAGTGCAAGTTATAGTGGACCTGGTTCACACTCCTCCTCTCATAGCAGGGACAGCCCCTCTTTAAGTTCTATAGACAGCATTCACCCCCCACCCATAGCACAGGCATCGCCATCCAGTACCCTGCAGTCTCAAGCTTTAAATCTAGAAGCTATGTCAGATGCTGATTTTGATGAGTTTTTGAAAGGGTTATCATGGGGGGTGTAAATTAATTAAGATGTGTAAAAAGATGTACAGAGAACAATACAAAGCAATTTCATAAGAATGCAGACTGGAGGTGGTTTTGTAGTTGGATAACTTATATTTGTCAAATTTCTGTGGATTGTATTTGTGTAACTTTTAAAAAATTAAAATTTCTTTATTGGTCTTGACAAGGTGTACAGTTTCATGTTTGAGTGCTGCATGTGTTCATATATTTACTTCATTCCAGTCAGTTTGAGTAGAAATTGAATCTGCATGAAGTCTATCAATCTTCTGAATTGCAACTACTGGTGCACATAAGATGTTTCTCATAGTAGTTTAAGCCAATTTAAGATACTGTGACAGTAAAGGTAAAAAAATAACCTAATGATTATGCATTGACAATCATTTCCTTTCATTATGAAATAATGGTTCATGGGCTTGGTTGAAAGAGCATTTAAAATTTTGTTGACCTAAGTAATGCAGTGACTTGAGATATTATGTAGCTTCGTTGTTTCCCTGCTTTATGTACAAGTGCAATTCACATACACCATCTGCCTTTGAAATTGCACAGGCAACAGTATAGATTTAAGTTGAATTTAAAAAATGGTGATCCTCCCATTAAAGCCACAATGTTATATCAATCAACCTGGGTACTTGGGCCATCTTATTTCTCTTGTTATTGAAAATTATAGTATATTAATTTTTTAATGACTAAAAATGAGGTATTCTAGTGTTGTCTTTGGAGACCAATGTTTCTGGAAACCAAATCACTGCTTTAGAAGTGGATAAAAAATTACTGACAAAATATGTCACAGACAGGGCATATATTGTGAATTACAAGGCTTAGTCTATAACTGGAAATAAACCTCACAAAAATAATGGCCCCAGAAAAGTAAGGACAATGGGGCTGTTTCACATGGAGGTATCAATTCATTAAAAAAAAATACACTCGAAGGCCAAACACAAGTGCATACCTATGACAATTTAAATTAAAACTTAGAGGAGGGAAAGAACTCACTAAAAAAAGGTTCAAATTAATTTATAAAGATCATTTGAAAAGATGCTGCTAGAATGATTTCCTGATGCAGATCTTATAGACAAAATAATGCAAAAACATCAAAATAATGTCAATATATACTTTTAATGTGGGCTGTGATCATTACAAGATGTAAACGCGCTTAATATACATACACATTTAATTGATGACATGGGCATTAAAGGAGGGTACAATTTTTATACTGTGATCAAGGTGACATCTAGTGGACACCTAACCTACAATCTGCATTGTATCAACACAATTTCTCCTACAGTTTTTTTCTGCTGAAATTTAAATAAAAGTAGTATAAAAGCTAAATTCTAAGTAATCTGTTAGTAGTACTGTTTTTTAAGACTGAAAAAATAGGTTTATTCTATGTTCAAGCTGTTGCAAGCTGTCACAAAAACATACAGAAGTCTTTGGTTAATTAAAAACACCCGACCTCGCAACGCCACTGATACATACAATAATATTTATATCTTCAGGCCACCTAAGGTTTAATTTAACTGTCTCAAATATCTGTTTCTGTGGAATCCTTCAATCCATTTTCCCACGTTTTCTTTAACTTGCTTTCGAGTCTGTTTGTTTGTTTGGTTCTCCAATCAAATCTTGCGATCGAAATTTCGGGCACTTCTCAGTTAGCTAGCGCGCTGAAATTTTCAGGGAAGCTTTGTTTCCGATGACAATAGAATATTCAATTGTTATTATTACTAAATTGATCCATGGAAACATTTTATTGATCATTTTAGACCCCCTATATATTTGTGCAAAAACGTGGGAAAAGGGGATATAATCCAGTAATTGTAATTTGATGAAAACAAGGTTCGGTACTCTCCCTCTTTTGGCTTACTGAGTAGTGGTCACGCGGTGTTTGTGTACAAACAACCGGAACGTAACAACTGCTGGCTAGTATGGGGGAGACGATATGGTCGAGTGGTTGGGCACACGATTGCTAACCCACTCGGGTTCAAGGCACGTGTTTTTTACGAGTTGTCTTCATTTACCCGGAAAAAAAAGGAATGCGAAAAGATAAAATCGATAGCAAGATTTTAATGCAAACAAACAGACAAAGACTAAAAAGTAGAAAATAATTATCATTAAAAAAGTTTTTAAAAACCCACGTTTTCTGATTGAACTAAAAAGTAGAAAATAAATACTATACATCACAATAATGCAAGCGATCACTCTACTATAAGCGATGAAAAACGTGGGGCGCCGTGATTTTCTTACAATTTCCAATACTGTTGACTCTCTACAAGCTCCCTAATAAAAGTCAATAGTATTATCTAATCAATAGTAATATAACTTTTACATCTTATATTAACAATGACCGATAAAAAACTTTTACTTCGGCACCCCACGTTTTTCATCGCTTATAGTAGAGTGATCGCTTGCATTATTGTGATGTATAGTATTTATTTTCTACTTTTTAGTTCAATCAGAAAACGTGGGTTATTTTAAACTTTTTAAATTATAATTATTTCTCACAAACTCCGATACTTGCCCTGAACAGTTATCAGACGGCACGGGCATCGGTCCCCTATTCCCCTCAACTGTTTACCATAATAGATCTAGTAATATCGTCTTTCTATTATAAATAACTAGCGTACCCGTCCCCGCGCGTTGCCGCGGGAATAGAAGAAAGTCTGACAAAATATATAAGAACGGTTTCATCAATGTGTTACCAATCCTATATTCTTAGACGCGTGACTTTGTTTTCTAAATCTGAGTTATTTAAATGTAAACAATGCCTGCGCTTGGATCATAAATATCGGGACACGGGTTTACCTACACTACCGCAAGAAAACCTACATAAATCACGCACCAAAATAATGAAGTAGAACACACTTCGGTGACCGCCCATGTGTCAGGGACGTAGAGTGGCGCTCTCGGCCCCCCCCCCCCCCCCGATTACACTTCCGCAGAGACGCCGCGTTCGGCCCCTGGCTACTTAATACTAACATATGCGCCATAATGCTCACATGATAACCTAGAGCGCTACATAACATCCTGAAACAATGATGCAGATTGCGTCATTCGCTAAAGTTACACAAATCAACAGGGTTTTTTCTTTAACACGTGGAAAAAAAAAATTAACGTGTTATAAACATCAGTGTGACCGATGGAATTAGTTAGCGTTACCAATTGTGTATTATTAAAAGCTCGATCTCAATTTCTGATTGGATCGTCTAAAAATAGATGCTAATTGCATCATTCGCAAAGCGACGAAACTGTTTGGGTTTTTTTTACGGACAAAAGGAAACAACCCATCTAACCTTGGTTGATTTGTCTGATTATTTTTTAAAAAATGTACTACAAGGCCCTCTGCGGCCCACGTGAGCCCTTGTGACCGAAACTGAAATTTTTGTTCGCAGCCAAATCAAGGACACGCCATAATTAATTTAGTGAGTGATTCTAACGCCCCATGTTATCGATTGTCTATCGCACTGTTTAGAACGAACGTAGTCGCCATAGCGCACACGGGAAAGACCAGGGCGCCAAATTGCATCATGCGGCGGGCCGCCCGTGCAAAATCAAATCTCCCCCCTCCCCCAGAAATCCTCTCGGGAGTATTCATCAACTCCCTAAAGTTTTATGGCACTTCGATAAGCGGTGTCAAACCGCATCCGACTTTCATTTTTTAAAAATATATCGTATATAGAGAAAAATCGCACCATCCCGCGGCGCCGCCCTTGTGAAATTAAAAAAGTTTTTTTTTTTTTACTGAAACCTAGTGTTCTAGGCTTAATCAACTCCCCAAAGTTTGATGGCGATTGGATGAACGGTGTAGTAATGCATAAAAGACAGACAGACAGATACACACACGCACACATACATTGCTTTTTATATAGATAGAGTTGCATGACTAAAAACCATTACGCACCTAATGAACATAATAGCATAATAGTGCGGAATAGTTGGGTAAGACAGCCTACTAATTTGGAGACATTATATTTTAAATTAATTCATAAACAATTAGTTAGGCATCCAATTAAGTCAAATTTAATGGCAGATTGCATCGTCTTCAATGTCACGTGCCAACTTTGAACCGAATCTCTCAGTTAGAAATGCCCGACAGAGGAAGCAAGTTAAATTAAAGATAAAAAAAAACAAAAAAACAAAGCTTGAACATTTTTTCAAACGTTTTCTTTAACTTGCTTTCGCGTCTGTTTGTTTGTCTTTCCATCAAATCTTGCGATCAAAATTTCGGGCACTTCCCAGTTAGCTAGCGCGCTGAAATTTTCAGGGAAGCTTTGTTTCCGATGACAATACAATATTTAATTATTATTATTATTACTAAATTGATCCATGGAAAAATTTTATTGATCATTTTAGACTACTATTGATTTGGACAAAAAAGGGACATAACCTAGTAATTGTAATTTGTTAAAAACAAGGTTCAGTACTTTCCCTCTTCTGGCTTACTGAAAAACAAATGAAAAATCATGAAGGAGCGAGCACGCGATTGGCCGAGTAGTGGTCATGCGGTGTTTGTGTACAAACCTATGCAAATCTGACTGATCCGGAAGTAGAATGTTGATGGTCGAATGGTTTGCGTGCGAGGGCAAAATGGTGAAACTGAAAGAAACGTCAACACAGAGGAAACGTCGTTTGGAAAAGGCACGCCAGAAGTATCATGAGAAGCGCAATGCAGGATACAGATTGGAAAATCCTCCTAAACGACCAAAAATTATGGAAGAAGGCGAGTATCAAAAGAAGCTTGAAAAAGATCGAAACCGAAAATCTGCTGCTTTAGCGATGGAGACAGAAGAACAAGTCGTAAAGCAAAAGATAGATTCTAGATCTAGATCTAGAGTGCGTCATGCTACTGCTCGTGCGATTGAGACAGAACAAGAAAGGGTCTCTCGTCTTGCTAAGCAGAAAGAACGAACCAAAAAACGTGGGTTTTTTATTTTTTTTATTTTAATGATAATTTATTAATTATTTAAAAAAATAAATGAATTACTAATTAGGCCTAAGGCCTAAATCATGCCTAAATGTTTTAATTTTAAGAAACACTAGATCTAGAATAGATCTAGATCTAGATCTAATAGATTTAATAAAAGTTGCAAATGTAGAGATTTTAGAGAACTTGAAAATAATTATTTTTTTTGTGTGTTTATTAAGTTAATTAAATATTAAGGCAACATTTATTTTTATCAAGCCAAAATCTGTACAGGAAACTCGGTGATCGATCTCCCAAAACACCATCTATTTTTAACTCAAATTTTGCCGATAAAATTTTAAAATAAAATTATTCTTTTTAGACAACATGGCTTAGTAAATTAGTTACATATCTAGATCTAGAATCTGGAGTCTCGCCTAGGCCTAGTCAGTGACAAAACATGTGTAGGCCTAAATATCTTTAATTTTTTTTTTTTTTTTTGGCTATTTAGTATTTAAAAATTTTGGTTTAGTTCCCGAAAATACTAAAAACTAGTAAAAACATCAAATTTATCCAATCTTTATTAAATTCCAAATAAAATCCAACAGATTTTTATCATTATAATATTTATTTTAAACATAATCGTATATCTAGAATTCTGTAATTTATCGTTTTGGGTACGTAAAATCGCCCGCGACTTGTAATGTGAAAACCAGGTGACTCCTTAAATTTTAATAATTATTTCACATTTTGAGGAGGATTTATGTTTGTTAAAATACAAAAATGTTTTCTTGTTTCATTTATGCACCTGTTTTTAAACGATTGAATTAAAACTTTTCCGTAATAAATGAAGACTGGTGATGTTTCCAACAGATGCAACCATGCTCATTTACTATAGCAGCCATCATGTTTAAGTTTTATTTTTATAAGCTTTTAGCACGAGATTCAGGGGGAAGCCACTCTATTTTACAAATGGCTGCTGTTTATATAGCAAATCTTGCTCGCAGACACTGCTGTTTAAAGTTAATTTCTGGCCTATATTGATATATTTAGCCATTGATTTAGGTTTAATATTCATTTATCTATAATATTTGACACAAACATATCACAGTACATTTCTATTAAAGCCTTGACAATGAGGTAACGTTTTCGTACATTATTAGCCGCCGGCGATTTTACGTACCCAAAACGATAGATTACCGAATTCTATATCTAGATCTGGTTCTACAAATGTAGATGAAAAATAAAATCTGATGAATGGGCCTTCCCATAAATTTTTATCGACTAAAAGTCTATTGGGCAATTAAGAGTAATTAAGTTTAAAAAAAAATTAAATGAAGAATCATTGGGGAAACGTGTTTATTGTTTTTTTTTTTTTAAAGTTCCAATTCTACAGCGCTGGTCTTGATGCTTAATAGTAGGCCCCTATTATTAGGTCATTGGCCTAAAGGCTAAAGGTAGGCTAGGGCACAATGTGTTGTAATTTGGGAACCGGAAGTAAATCTGGTGTAGTAGGCCTATTATTTGCGCATACTCCTTGGGCTGTTCCACTGTACGGAAGTTGGAGACTTAACCGTGAGTTAACATAGACTTTAATTATCAGCATACGTCATAGCTCAGGCAATAGCTGTTTGAAATTGTGTTGGTCTGACTTTTGGGGTCATTGTAAGTTCGGGGTCGGCGTGGTCGAGTCGGTAAAGCTCATGTTTGCTAAACCGAAAAATCTCGAGTTCAAACCCTCGGGCAGATGAGGCTCGTTAGCAGGGGACAGCCACTCTTCTAGGAGAGACAACTCCAAAATTAAACAACTGCTGCCTTGTAGTTTGTTCTTGGTTGGACAAAGGCTATGGAAGCAAATCCAAAAAGAAAAGCAGGCTGAAATTGGAGTCAATGGCCTCAAATGGTGCATAACCAGTTGACACGTAACGCTTAATTGTGTTGGAGGCGTGCTCGAGTCGGCAAAAAGCTCATGGTTGATAAATTCAAACAAAGTCTCGAGTTCAACCCACTGGCAGATAAATCTCGATCCCCTTCAACACTAATAATTAAGAACGAAGAAGAAAGAAGATTGTAAGTTCATAAATGTTTATAGCATCATGCCTGGGAGATACTTGTAACAATACAAACTTAACCACCTTGCAATTTTGAGTTACGTTTACATACTTCACCCATTGCCATAAAAATTCTAGATCTAGATCTAACCCAAAATCTCCCATTACTTTCTGATACAGGCCCACAAGATTTGGTTTTGCATACTAATAAGTTTTTGATTTATAGTAATTAAGTTTAAGGGTAATTTCCTAATGTTTGTTAAAAAGTAGGGTGGTTTTCCTTTTGTTTTGATGGTTTTGCGATCTGATTGCATTCTGTCTCTGCTTTAGTCTTACTCCTGTATAAGGTTAGTTTCAAATGCTCTAAAAACTTGATTTATGAAAAGTTTCCTCTTAAAGAAAGTTTTCCTAGCAGATACGTCTTATGTAAATAGTAAATAGATATAGGCCTACACTAGCTATGTGCTAACTGTAATTTTAAGTTTTCAAGTTCAACTTACCCTTATCTATAGTTATATGCAGAAAATCAGAATTCATACACACATAAAAACACTGATCTGCTAACTTTTAAAATTGTATCGAGAATTAGTAGACCAATTGGCGACCCACACTTTCGGAAACCATGCGCTAGCTAGCCTTAACAAGATCAATATTTTAAAATTATTTCCAAATTTAACCTGTTTCACTCCAAAATTGATAAAACAGGGTACTAGGCACCACACTTATTAGCATTTGTTCAGTACATTTTGAAGATATTTTTATATTGTAAATAGGCTGCTGCAACTTTATTTTAACTCTCACACAGTGTAATCAAAATCCTAAGAAGGGAGTAAATATAGTAGTCAATAGGTCATATAATTTGCATGTTCAATTGATGTGTATTGTAAAAGATCATATAAATATAATATTCTGACTAACAGTACCAGTTTTCTTGTGATTGCACTGAGTTAATTTTTTAGCTGTTTCCCCAAAAAATATAATTTTTCTATAACTTTTGACAAAACCATCTTTTTTTTTAGACTATTGCATTTTTTTCATATTTTATGTTTGTTACAACATTCTTATCACTAAATAATTTCTTAATATATTTCCTTAAGAAGTTAATGTGGATGTTCACTTTTTTATCCTTCTTTGGGTGAAGTGATTGGTTTTTCAACTCACTTGAGTTCTCTGTTTGAACTGCATTCTTTTTGTCATGGCTAAGCTGCCATATAAAACAGTATGTAGGCCTATAAACATAACAACTTTTAAAGGCAGACAGCACTTTCTTCCTTAAACTAATAACTATTTAATATATTTTTTTTAGTTGCAGTTGGAATGGACTACAGCGCTGCAATGAACAATATGAGATCTATCATCCCCCAGCCTCCCATACCAGTCAATCCAGATGTTAAATTAAAGCATTTACCATTTTATGATGTTCTTGCAGAACTTATGAAACCTTCAAGTCTCAGTATCAGTAAGTTTACTCAAGTTTACTTTAATCTTAATTAAATGTAAATTAAGATCAATCTGAGCATAATTTAAGCTTAAATATTAAAAATAATTTTTGCAGTACCTAAAAATAATGGGAGGATGCAGGAAACGCTTTTTGTATTTCATCTGACACCTCAGCAAGCGCAGGATATAACTATGTCAAGGTAAACTTTTATTTGTTAGTTCTTTTCTTAACTTCACACTAACATTATTTTGATGTTTTTCGTAACATTTTAAACAAAATATATGATAAATACTGTCCCTCCAAAAGCAGAATTGTTTTGTTTTTTGAACAAAAAAATTATTACTGTTCTCCATCTAATTTTCTTGAAAGTTTGTTCAGCTTTTTCAAATTAATAAAGAATACTAATTAATCAAATTGATAAAAAAAAAGAAGGAAAACAGATTTTCTCCCTTTAGCACACATTTCCGTTGACTTACAATATTTACAAGTATAATCTTTAAGTAGATCTATTAGTACTAACTTAACTATGAAAGAACTAACTAGATCTAGGATTTTTACTTGGTAGGACTCATCTTAAGCTTATATTTTGGCCTATTACATATGAAACTTTCAGCATTTGTTGTTCATATGGTCTAGAACATAGCAAGCCATGAATTAAGTCAATAATGTTATGTTAAAGCTATGGTTTTTGATTTTATTATGGGGGTGGAGAGTGGGGTTTCTCAGGTTACTGGTTAACTTTTTTAAATGTAAGCGGATATAAAGGGGTATTTAGATATAGCCTAGATACTATTTATATATAACTATAGTTATATTTACTAGAGGCCTAATAAACACTATACCAATGTATGTCATAAGACTTGTTTTGAATTATTTATTTTTATTTTCGCTTTAGTAAAGTAGCATCAACGTGTATGTTCCCTTTTTGGCTTCAAATTCCTCTTTTTGGTATGACTGTTCCTACTTTTGGTTGCCAGTGGTAGGCATGTCTGTAAATATACATTGAAATGATATAACAACAGAATTATTGAAAATTATCAGCATTCTAACTTTGTCATCATGCAATATTTTGCTACAGGGATTTCCGTCCGAATGCTAAAAATGAATACACAGTTCAAGTCCAGGTTAGGTTCTGTTTACTGGAAACAACATGTGAGCAAGCAGACACTTTTCCGTCACAAATCCAAGTTAGAGTCAACAACAAACCTGCTACGTTACCAGTAAGTTTATAATTTTGTACATTTCAATATATTTTTTAAAGCCTGAAAATTAAGTTTGAAAGAAAAGGTGTCTAACATTTTTTTTAATCAGCTTTGTGATTGCTAATTACAGAATGTAATTCCCACAAATAATCCCAATGTAGAACCAAAGAGGCCTGGACGGCCTGTGGACATCACCAATCTCTGCAGATTGTCACCAACAGTTTCTAATGCCATTACTGTTGCGTGGGCTGCTGATTTTACTCGGGTATGTGCTCTTCAACATTTGCTGGAAAAATAAAGTATTCACAAACTTTCTTTTCAGCCTAAACCATTACCCCTCCATAACAAAGCACCACCCAAAAAATACGGAGGACCTATAGATGTCTCTGCTCTTTGTAGGCTTAGTCCAACTAAGCCTAACAATATTATCGTGTCGTGGTTGCCAGAGCAGCACTTGGTATCTTTAGTTTCTTGTTGCTTTGTTGAAAGCTAACTTTTTTGTTTGCATTGTGCATGTAATTTTCATGGACTGTTTAGTTTGTTGTTTTTTTTTTTTCCTTTGTTTTTATGAGGTTTCAAAAGCCAGTTATGGTTTCTGAGTTGCAGCTAACAAAAAAAAAACTTTGAACAACAAATCAAACTGGTCACGAATACATTTTAAGCTTTATTGGTCATTTTGTTTTTTACCATTATATTTGAAAATTCTATTTACAACACATTATTATAAACCATTTAAAATAAGCATTATACGTATAATGGACTAAGTCTTTCAGATTTTGTAAGTAGTATAATTTAACCTTCTTGCACAATATATTTATTCTATTAATAAAATCAATAATAATAAAATTTTACAAATAATGTTTAAATAATATATAATAACTAACACTAATGTTCCACAGTATTTACTTATGTAGTTTTTTGTGTTGTTAATATTATGCAATTAAATATCTATTTTTGCAAATACAAATTATTGCTGCTGGATTAAATGTTGTGTATATTTTTTACTGTAAATTAAAAGAAAATTTTGTTGTTTTTCAGAGTTTTTGTATGGCTGTTTATCTAGTCAGAAAACTTACATCAGATTTTCTTCTGACCAGATTAAAACAATTTGGAAATCGCCATTCAGATCACACTAAAGCTTTAAGTAAGTTATAGTTGTAAGTGAAATAAAATTTATCCTTGTAATAACTGTTCTGTACATGTTGATTCTGAGTAAACTTTTTCAGAATATCTTTTTCAGAATATCTTTTTATTAAAATTGCAAGCTACTTGAAATTTTATTTCTTATTTATAAATACGTATGTTCTGTAAATGTATGATTGAAACTTCTTTTAAATGTTTTTTTTTTTTTAAATTAAAAATTGACATGCATTAATTAAATTTTCTTTCAGTCAAAGAAAAGCTAGCTCAAGATCCTGATAGTGAAATAGCCACTACTAGTCTCAGAGTATCATTAATGTGCCCAGTAAGTTTTGTATGTTTGAGTCTAGCTAAGTTGTCTTTTAATCATTATTATTTAACCTGTGATAAAGGAAACAGATTAGATTGGTTATGAATTTTAAAAAGGAAATTATTCCTATTTTTAAAAAAGGTGTAAATATAAGAAGTTGATACTAGGTTTAAACTAGCTAGTTCTGTTATTGAATACAAGAAACATTTCACTAATGGATGGTTAGTTTAATTTTATTTGTGATATACTCAAAATTTAAAAAGTAATACCAAGTGTATGCTGTTGTGTATTATCAACTAGCTTGTGGTTATCTTTTTTTAGAACATGAGAAATATTTTTTAGTGTGAATTAACCAAATGAATAAACCATGGTTCAAAATCATTACTTAAATGCAACACTGCTTTTAGTAAATTATAGCATTTTAAGTTCAAATTCTTCACTTTTTGCAGTTAGGTAAGATGAGAATGCAGATTCCTTGCAGAGCTAGCACTTGCACACACCTTCAGTGCTTTGATGCCTCTACATTCTTGATGATGAATGAGAGAAAACCTACTTGGATGTGTCCAGTATGTGATAGACCCTGCCCTTATGACAAGCTCATTATTGATGGGTATGTGTATTTTTCTGTGCAGTAAAAAAAACCAGTATTAAACACAGTTGTAATCAGGATTAGTGTGCCTTCTTGAGATTCCAAGAGATCTGGAAACTAACTTTTTTAGTAGCCAAAAGGAATTTTCTTGAAATTACTTACTGTTGTGAAATTAAGCAAAATGTATGTAATTTAATAACTTCCCAGGGATGTGACTTTTTTGGTATTTTAATTTTTATCTTCTCAACTATTTAAAATTTGTTTTCGGCGTTTTTTTTTTTGTGTGCAGTTTTAAAAATTAGGAAAAAAAATGGAAATGACTGCTAAGGAAACAACGGACATAGGCATTCCACCTATCCCTATTTAAATTGAGTCTTAGGCTTGATCTGCAGTGCAGATTTATTAGGTGAAACTGACAATCGAATACACGCATTTCTTTTCAGTTGGACGATTGCGCTAAGTCTGACAGTACTAGACAGATTAAATGTAGGACAAGATTTCCAAACTTTTGAGAATGCAAATTCTTTTAGTCAGAATTTTCCGCTGATATTTAAGTTGAATATTTATCCAAAGTACGGATAAAATGTTACTGCTTTTTATATCTAACTATCCTCTGGGATTTTAGCTCACCATCTATTGCTGCTTTTTATATCTAACTATCCTCTGGGATTTTAGCTCACCATCTGTTTTTAAAGCTATCCAAAATCTAGTTTCTCTCTGCTTCATTTTGCAACCTCAAATAAAATTTGAAACTGAATTGTTTGTAAATGTTATGATCAATAAAATTTGAAACCGAAATTTCAGTTACTTTGTGGAGATATTTCGTCAGTCACCATCCTGTACTGATATCATATTTCATGAAGATGGTAGCTGGTCACCCATGAAACCGCAAAAGGAATCATCAAACCAAGTCATTCTGACCTCAACACCAAAAGTACCAGTTCCTACTTCTACATCATCATCACCTTCCTCGTTATCTTCTTCATCGTCAACACACTCAAACACATCAGGTAATCGATTGAGCAATTAAGTTGATTTCATTTCTACATCAGTATTACAAGTGTGTTGTTAGAAATCAGAATTTCCTAGAATTTTTCACCTGAAAGTACATTAAATTTTTTTTAAAAGGAATGAAAACTTATTTAATTTTATATTTGATATTCACTGGTAATCTTACAAATTCATGATTTATTTTTTAAATTTGTTGCTAGGATATTCTGATTCTTAATAACTGATGATTTTTAGCAAATTATTTTTGAGGGTTTTACTTTGACTTAAATTGCTCTCTCTTAATTTCATGAAATAACAAACCAGAAATGTGTGTAGACTTTGTTGAGGAAATGAATTCTCTTATTATTATTAGCAGCGATGACAGCGACTCAGCCGGCAGCTGCTAAACCTCCTGAAGCCAAAGGACCAGTGATTGACCTGACTCTAGACAGTTCAGATGATGATGATGACTCGGTGATCCCTAGTGACCCTGTCAGCGTCAGTCCTCCACCAGTCATCAACCTTGATACCCCCTCACCAGCACCACTCCCCACGATGCCCGGATCCCCTACTGTCATACTGTCTAATTCGCAGTCATCTTCACCCTCTCCTGCAATGGTTAGTCATACACAGTCCCAATTCCCAACCAGTGCAAGTTACAGTGGACCTGGTTCACACTCCTCCTCTCATAGCAGGGACAGCCCCTCTTTAAGTTCTATAGACAGCATTCACCCCCCACCCATAGCACAGGCATCGCCATCCAGTACCCTGCAGTCCCAAGCTTTAAATCTAGAAGCTATGTCAGATGCTGATTTTGATGAGTTTTTGAAAGGGTTATCATGGGGGGTGTAAATTAATTAAGATGTGTAAAAATATGTACAGAGAACAATACAAAGCAATTTCATAAGAATGCAGACAGGAGGTGGTTTTGTAGTTGGATAACTTATATTTGTCAAATTTCTATGGATTGTATTTGTGTAACTTTTAAAAAATTAAAATTTCTTTATTGGTCTTGGCGAGGTGTACAGTTGTTTTATGTTTGAGTGCTGATGTTTCCATATATTTACTTCATTTCAGTCAGTTTTAGTAGAAATTGAATCTGTATGAAGTCTGTCAATCTTCTGAATTGCAACTACTGGTGCACACAAGATGTTTCTCATAGTAGTTTAAGCCAATTTAAGATACTGTGACAGTACAGTAAAGGTAAAAAAAATAACCTAATGATTATTTAATTCCATTGATAATCATTTCCTTTCATTATGAAATAATGGTTCATGGGCTAGGTTGAAAAAGCATTTAAATTTTGTTGACCTTAGTCATGCAGTGACTTGAACTATTATGTAGCTTCGTTGTTTCCCTGCTTTTATGTACAAGTGCAATTCACATACACCATCTGCCTTTGAATGTGCACAGGCAACAGTACAGTATGGATTTAAGTTGAATTTTAAAAATGTTGATCCTCCCATTAAAGCCACAATGTTATATCAATCAACCTGGGTACTTGGGTCATCTTATTTCTCTTGTTATTGAAAATTATAGTATATTAATTTTTTAATGACTAAAAATGAGATATTCTAGTGTTGTCTTTGGAGACCAATGTTTCTGGAAACCAAATCACTGCTTTAGAAGTGGGTAAAAAATTACTGACAAAATATGTCACAGACGGGGCAGATATTGTGAATTATAAGGCTTATAGTCTATAATTGGAAATAAACCTCACAAAAATAATGGTCCCAGAAAAGTAAGGGCAATGGGGCGGTTTCACTCGAAGGCTAAACACAAGGGCATACCTATGACAATTTAAATTAAAATGTAGAGGAGGGAAAGAACTCACTTAAAAAGGGTTCAAATTAATTTATAAAGATCATTTGAAAAGATGCTGCTAGAATGACTTCCTGATGCAGATCTTATAGACAAAATAATGCAAAAACATCAAAATAATGTCAATATATACTTTTAATGTGGGCTGTGATCATTACAAGATGTAAACGCGCTTAATATACATACACATTCAATTGATGACATGGGCATTAAAAGGAGGTTACAATACATTTTTATACTGTGACCAAGGTGACATCTAGTGGACACCTAACCTACAATCTGCATTGTATCAACAAAATTTCGCCTACAGTTTTTTTCTGCTGAAATTAAATAAAAATAGTCTAAAAGCTAAATTCTAAGTAATCTATTAGTAGTACTGTTTTTTAAGACTGTAAATATTATACTTGCTTCTATGTTAAAATCTTGGTCAGTACTCACACATAAAGCAAATATTTACAATGTGTTTACAATTTATATACATTATTAAAATCAGTGCACATTTTTTTTTAAGATTAAGAAATATATAAATATAATTTTGATGTTTTCAAACCTAAACAAATTTAAATTAAATGTCTAAACCTACATTCAATTCAAGGCCACTGAAAAAACCTGAGCTACTTTTAAACCTTTATTTTTTAAATATTTTTACCTACTAGCGATCTGTCTTGATTTTTGTAAACATTTTCCTTTATTGTATTTTCTAAATCTAAATACATTGAAAATAAATGTTCATTACTTAATAAGGTTGTAGAAAACCTTTTTTAAAACAAGAGAACACTTTCCTAGCAAATTGATGATTTAGATAACATTCTCCTGCTATTCATAGTGACATGTAATTTACTGTTCATACAGAAGGCTTTGCCCTTTATAAGTGTTTTTTTAAAAGTGAAAACAAAATTGATAAAAATGTATTTGACTTCCAGGGGTTGTTGAAAGAGAAATCCTAGTTTCATAAAACTAAAACAACGAACTTATTTTTCAGCAGTTCTGTTATTCTTCAATATTTAGTATATTTAGTCAAAATTTTACAAAGACTAAACATTAGACAAGTAGATGGGAAAAAAAAAATTCAAATTCTTACTGAATTATAAATAAAGTGAGGTCTAGTTGTTTCAAGTTTTGTCTATCAACAGAATCTCAATACATATTTGGCTATTTCACAAAGTCTGATTGAACATATACAGAAAACAATATTGGTTTTATTACAACATTTTGATTACTTAAGTGGCTTTCTTACACAAAAATTATAAATATAAATGTATATACATTTATACATACCCGACAAAGATGTATGATACATAAATGAGCAAACAAAAGCATTAAAATCACAAATCTGTCATACTGGGCTAGAAACAAATATTTCATTTAATTAAAGGTTAGGTTCAAAGGTTAAATATAATGTTCCCTTAACAGCCATAGCTTAAAAAGTGAAAGCCAAAATAAAAGCTTGCCTATTTTCTAGGTTAGAAGGAGGTAATGCTTTATGTAGACACATAAATAATAAGTACCCAACATTCATCCCATACACAAACAATTCAGGTAAAAATATAATTGTTGGTAACAACAACAACAGAATTAAGTTTAAGGCCACGACAAATTCACTTTGACACATATCACAGACAACATCATATCATTTACCATTAAAAAGGATGTTGCATTTAAACCAAAGGTCTACATTTTTTATCAATTTCTTTGACTATCTTTTAAAACATATTCAACAAACAGATGTAGCATACAATATATTTTTTCCCCATTATTTTATTTCAAAACTTGTGAAGTTACACTGCATTCCACTTTTTATATGATTAAAATTTATATGATTAGAGTTTATATGATTAGAGACCTTTGGTTTAAACATTTGACACTAAAATATACAAAATACAAGTATATTATATATGTATTTGTATTTATATACATATAAAGGTGGTGTGCGCACAGCTTAGTTTTTGTACTCTATTATTACCATACAAAATCCAGTAGCAATAAGTTTCTATATTCATGTCACAACCTTAAACAACACACTACCTATTTACAAGTACTCTAATCTGTGACTAGTACCAAATGCTGGTCTATGTATTAAATAACAACTAGGTATTTAAGCACAAGTACAGCACAACAGCTAGTGAAAACTAGTTTCGCTTACAATACATACCAAACTTTATAAAACTGTTTATTTGGTCACATTGTCTTTGAAGGCACACCAACATTAGTATCCAATGCTCACAAGATTTTGCTGTGCCAAGATTACAAACACTTCTCTACTTTGATGTCATGGCTATGCTATTGCGTGCCCAACATTTTACTTTCCATTCATTTCATTAAAAATTCAATGATATGTCTTTTGATAATTAACTATTTATATAAATAAGGAGGAGTTTGACACTGACTAAGGCGATAGACTGAAGTATACATATACAAAGAGATTTGTGCAATCCAACTTGCTTGACAAATTCTGCCCCTTTAAATATAACAATTTTAAAAAAAAGTCAATGAATTATTTTATTATATTTATAATAAACTAGTACATTCTTGTGAAAATTTGTTTACTACATAAATTAACAACAAAAAAATCAGTTTTTTAGTCTTCAAAAAAAAGTTTTATAAAAATGTGAGAAATAATTTCCATCAATCAACCACAATGAGAGACTGAAAAAAAAAATCTTTAACCATACACCTGACTAATTGACATGCCTCATAGCTTATTTACTAGACTGAGAAGTTCTTGTTTGTGGTATGTCTTAGGAAGGGGAAACAAACATACTGAACAATTTGTGTGCTCAAACATAATGTTTTACAATTCAACCAAAGTACAAATGTTTCATTTGTGGCATATTAAAGCTCAAATTGATGAATAATTTCAAGTAGAACACAGTTTATCAGGACATAAAAATATTAAAATGAAACTAAGGATTTTATTAAATGTTGACAATAAAAAATATTTAAAATACCGGTTATGTAAATGTTGAAATGAAACTGTAAAAATAAGTAGTAAGGTAGCCACAGGTAGACGGACAATATAAATCATGAATTCACTAGCCAACAGTGAAAGAAAATGTGGTGAAACATGAATGCAACAAGAATTATATCACCTACAATAAAACAGTTCAGTATTACTTAGATGTTTAAAATTCCATCATCAACAAAACCACTGTCCCCTGAATAGATTCAGGTTAGTTTTCTTTCAGTGATTCCAATAGTCCAATGTGGTTATGTCCTTCAGGTCCACTAGACACTTGTGGAGATATGTACACAGGTTAGTTATACAACACAGCTCTACAACAACAAATTCTCAATGAGAATGTTTCCATGACAACAACAACACAAATCTAGGTCAATAGATACAAATGTAAACAATGAGAAATTAATATTTAAACAAAAAAAAAACCGACATTTGTCTGAAGATATGATAGGGTCTAGTGTCTCAAGTTTTAAGAAATAAACTGTTTGCTTAAAAAGAATAATTTAAATAAATAGATTGGCAACTAATGAGGAATAGGTTTACTTAAGTCATAATAATCAAAATTCTTTTAAGTACTGGTATGTATTTTAATATTAAATCTATTGATACTTTGTCCTAATTATATATATAAGTGCCAGACTAAAACATTTAATTTCCAACAGTGAAATTTACTTATGTGTAGATAAAAAGTTAACAAAAAATTAAACACATCCTCTACTTTTGTGAATTAACAATGTTTTAGAACTTAGACATGTGAAAAGAAAATGAGAGTGAATGTGATGTTACAGTATGGAGTTGATAAGATTGTTGTTTTAATGATTTCAGTGTAGTTAATAACTGTTGGTAATTGTAATATTTAGAAACAACCAGACAAAAAGCTTGTCCAAAGGAATAAAGGCAGTGCTTCCAGAATTGCCTAGAGTAAAAGGACAAAAAAAGATGAGCTTGTTGTAATGTCAAAAGACCAGTATATGCATACACTAGACTTGTTCTTTCCCTTCCATCTTCACAGCCAATGTCAGTATGCACATATCAACAAGTTCAAGGCAGGCTAAAGCAAGCTTTTCATCCCAGAGCACTGTTAATGCAACCACTGTTCCATTACAGATGACTTCCCCTTGTGAGTGAAAGAAAGGAAGAAAAACTTGACCGTCAGATGGGACCACCATTCAGGTGCAGGGAGCGGCTCAGGTGTGCTCAGAAAAAATGTGTCCAGCTTGTAGGCAGACAAGACCTTCCTGCAGTCATTACGTTGTCCAGCCCTCCATTCTAGATCTCTTGACCATAGGGCTATCGTAGTCTAGATGCTGGCTGTTCACAGGGGAGTTGTTATTACTGTGTCCCATTGGCTGGGCTGGAGACAGGTGACCTGATGGAGAAATGTGACCTTGACCCACAGTAGAGGGAGAGAGATGACCAGACATGTTGTGACCTCCAGCTGGAGACAAGTGTCCAGCCATTCCAGGAGATGGGGAGAGGTGTCCAGTGATGCCGGCTGATGGGGATAGGTGACCGGTGCCACTGGACTGTGGTCGTAGCTGTGTTGAAGGTGTGGTGGTGTCTCGAGGTGGTGTGATGGGCTCACTCTTGATATGCATCCCACTGAGTGTGTTGATGGCTAGAGGTGATACTTGTCCAGACATACTGCCCATTGGGCTGGGGCTAAAGAATCAATACAATTGTTTATTAAATAAATAAATAGCAAATATTGGGAAGTATCCTAGCAAAGATAATACAAACATGTAATAAGCTTATAACATTGGCATTGCACAGACTACCAAATCCCTTTATATGTTGTGGTCACATAAAAAAATTAACCCCTCAATTTATTTTTACCAGTTTATAATGGACTTATATAAAAAAATAAACATCTGGATTTTACTACAAAACACAATGTAACAGCACTGTTCATGCATGCTTCTATTATATCAGTCAATACCTAAAATGAATGTATAAAAATACCTGTGATGTGAGACCATCCCAGAATTTTGAGGTGATATAGAATTCATGTGTCCTTGGCTCCACTGGTTGTAACCCATATTTCCACTTCCCATTTCTTGGTTACTTAGTGAAAAATCATCTGTCAAATTGTAAAATAAAACATTACCATGCAGAATTTTATCATTAACCAAATACACAAGTTTAGTGAAAAAATCCTAGAGTAAATAAACCCTAAAGAATGTTAACCTTATACTAGCATAAGGTAATACATTTGTTAGGTAAAAACAAGCAGAATTAAATATAACTATTCATAGTTTTATGGTTAAGCATAATATATTTCTTTTGAAGACTATCCAAGCTAATTCAAGAATCAAATAATGACCAATAAAATATTTGTAGCATTTCAATGACTATATGTATTGACATTTAGGCTTACTATGCGGAATTTAATAAAAAACTTACTTTGAGGATAGGAAGGTGAGTTGAGAGTGTGGTTATATCCCATATTGTGCATGTTCGACATCCCAGGAGTCAAGCAATTTGGGGAACGATTCTGACGACAGCCACAAATAAAACAAATTAAAAGACTGTCATGCTAATAGTGAACTTGTTCAAGTACAAGCTAATGTGAGAGCTCTTACCTCAGGCACACTTAAGTGATCTGGGCGAGTGGGTCCCATCATGCGCATGTTGTTGGTACTTGGTCGCAGCTGTTGTGGGGTGGGTGTGTGTGAAGGTGTTACATTAGGTGAGGTCTTGTGGTGAGAGATATTATTGCTGCCGTTGTGCATCATCATGTTGGGTGAGGACAGGCCCCCTGGTGAACTGCAGGGAGAGATGCGCTGTTGGTATCCATTAGGTGTGGGAGAGTGGCTCATGTGGTCAGACATTCCACCTGGTGCAAACACAAAGTCACAATGAGTTCAAGTAAAGCAGTAGTATATATACATATCTGAAAGTTAAGTGTAATCCCCATATTATGATAAACTATAAATTTGTTTTCTATCAAACTACTCCTACACCAAGTTTTTATCTAGTGTTGACTGGGTTGACAGGTGTAAGCTTCATCTTGTCAGTGACTGATGTTCAGATGGTAATTTATCATGTACCTGTGGAATGAGGTCTTGGACTTAAAACTTGTGGGGGTTGCAACAATCCAGGTGATCCAGCCATGTGGTTGTGATGAGGTGGTTGTGGTGTGGGTGGCATCAGGCCAGACTGGGGTGAGGGGTACATGCCACCTCCACCATGTAATGGCATGTTGATCTGCATGGCCTGGTTGTGGTACTGTTGCATTGAATGCTGGAATAAACAAATACATGGGAGATCAGTATTAAAGAATTACACATTGTTGAAGCAATTCAAATGAAATTAGGCTCAACTAAAAGCTACTGTATTGCTGAAGGCTAATGCTTTATTTAGTTTAAGACAGGCTTATGTCCATAGTGTATAAAGATGTATAGTTGTATATATGAGTTGTGAAGATTAGATAAGCTGCACTATATTGCAATGAACTCTGCCTAAATAAAGAGGTAGAAAATGCCTTATTTCTACTGCAAAGCGTCGAGGTATTAAAGACGGAAAACTAAAATGGGAATACTAAAGTGTTTTATACTGTTTGAGGAGCATACTGCAGTTATAGTGAACCACTTAACCCAAGCATTGTACTGCTAATGGGATGTATTTCTCTTACCCTCATAGCATTTTGCTGCATGACCCTCTGGTAATCATCTGGAATGCGATCATATTTGTCCTCCCCACGCAGGCCACTGCTGTAGGGATCTGAGTCCACTGGGTCAGGGCTCTCACAGCCTTTATGTTCTTTTTTGTTCAGGGCCTGGAACAAAGCAATCAACACAACACATCAAGACACTATCTACACTGATGAATTGTATCACAATACACAAGACACAATTAAAAAAAAAAACCACTGGTAAACCACAAGCCCAATCAATGTTTTTTGTCCAGCTCATGTCTAATTATCAACTCCATCAATAACTGTTTAGATGGAAGCAAGACAGACTTGAGTGGAACATTTGTAATGGATGATAAACACTGAAACAATTTAGTAGAAAACTATTTCACTTGCAGATGCTCAACCGCATATAGATTTTGTCTAATGTCCAAATGTGAAATGATTTATTGTGCACTCAAGTTTCAAAACAAAAACAGAAATAATATGTGTGCTGTAAAATAGGCAATAGTACAGTGAGATACTACTATAACAATTCTTAAATCAGACTTTTTAAACAAATAAGACACCAATCCTTTAAACCCTGATCAACAAAATCAGATATTTCAATCCTTTGAACCCCTCCCTCCATCACAACCAAGTCAGATATTTCATTGCCCCTATCACAAACATACATTTCAATGAAAATACTTTTAATCCTGAAACAGCTTGTGGTCTAGAGAAACGTGACCACAATTTTTCTTATTGTATCTATTATTAAGTCTACCATAATAATATAAAGCAGTACTTGTATATATAATCAAACCTTAAGCAACAAAAACAACATGATGCATTAACCAGAATGAGCATTACAATTTATTTATTCATGTTCTAAATTGAGGGCATGTTTAAAAAAATGAATCAATTCAAAGAACTGATATATCACTATATTTTTAAGAGAGATAATAGTGATTTAAAAATGGCATTGTTAATTTTTTCTTTCTCCCTGATAGAGGACCACCAAGCCACTATGTACATTGTCCTTGAGGTGGTGATAAGACTGCTTTAATTCCCATTCATTTCAAGTGACTTTACCTGTCCACAGTATAAAGCTTTACACCTATCTGCTTAACGTCTTATCATCAAAAACATGTAAGGTAAAACATCAAGTGAACAGACTACAGCTCCAGGTTTTGTTAATCATAAGACATGAACACAAAACAGATCTGCTTCCTTACATGTTATCAACTGATCAATAATACACCAAAAGGATGGGCTTCATAGAAACATTGGTCAATTGTTCAGGATAAAATGGTGAAGAAATTAAGTTCTCTTTTGCTTTAGAAGTATTAGAAATCTCTTTTGAACTTATTAAGTATTTTGTTAATGAGATAAGCTTTTGCTCGGCAGTACCCTCAGTACAATTAAGTTACAGCAAAAATATTAACAAATTTTTAAAAAATAAATTATATTTAAATTCAGACTGTTTATTTTTAGAGTTTAACAATGTTTTTTTTTTAAATTAATATAACTTGCTGGATATCAATCATTAATATGTACCTATCAATATTAATTTTGTATGGGATAAAAACAAATGGAAGGTAAACTATCCTTCCTAAAATGAGGAAAATGTTTGTAAAATACCAGTGCTAAAATGCATAGCTGTAAACATACACACATGAAGGCTGATAACATTAAATTCATTAGTTATAACCTTCAGATTTAAAACAAGTGGTGTAACAAGTACGTAGGATGGCTGATCTAGCTTCAACAATGGATACTGTTTCTCAAGTCCAAGTGTTGAGTGAGAGACAAGAAATATTGCAATATATTAGACACAAATAGAATGGTTGGTGAGAGGAAAGGCCAAAACAAAATGAGACTGGCCACAACATGAAAGCAAGGCAGTTAAGTCATGTGAAAATATGCTTGTGGTGTGCTCCACAGACAAGTATACAGCACAGATGACACAAAAGGTTGGACACAGGGATTAGCAGCGCTGCTGGGCCACACGTATACCACTCACTTGCAGGGTTGGGTTGTGGGGGGAACAGTGTGAACAAATACCTTGTTCACATCCACAAATAGAGATACAATGTTCATACACTTTGGCTATATACAAGTTTTACTGAGCCACATAATTTCAACTAAAGACTAATGTCATCATTGTATTTAATAACAACAACTACATTAATCAGAGTTACAAGATTTAATTATATTCTTAAGGAGCTGTGCTACAAAAATACCAGGCCTTTGGACAATGGCCACTATAGAAATGTTATTTTATCTACACAAGGGTAGGCTGTTATGTCCAGCCAACTAGCCCAAATAGTGTGGCTCAGTAGAATTACCATGTAAGAAGGGTGAACAGTGAGTGTAGAGGAAGGCCCCTCTCGCTCGCCAATGCTATTCCCTGCACGCATTTCAATTTTCTGAAAAGACATTTGAAAGCTATTGATATTATTGACATGAGATTTGTTCACAAACAGCCCGTACTGTGTTACTGGCTAACATAAATGTTTCTACACTAGAGAGCCTTTGTTGTGTCCTAACATCAAGATCCTCCTAGTGATTCAACAGCTAGACAGATGGCAAGGGAGATACACATACAAATGTCATGGGCATACTCGGCCATACAAACACTGTAAAGGCCACATCATATAAACATTGGGAAATGTTCTTCCTATTTTAGAAGACCAACTACAAGATCACGCCGAGAAATCTAAAAAAATAAAAAAAAGATCTGTATCATCTAGAATGACGAACCAGTCATATAGCCATTAATAAAAATAAATTCTAATCCCTTAATATAAAAAGCCTTAAAAGTGAGATAGATAACGGGAGCCAACTCCAACTGTACGTCGGTGAGAGACCACCTAACATTCGCCGCAAGTTCTCGCCCTTAGCAAACCAGTGAGTCCATATTCAAACATGTAAATGAGAAGAACCAACTGATCCAATAATCAGAGCTATTAGAGGTTATGTTGTTACAGTACTGCGCACGACAAATATTGCAAACAAGAATCAATAGTTCGTGGTGGGCGGGAAAAAACCGAACAGCGCCATGGCCGATAACTCGAAAATAATTTGAAACCAACCACACATCATCGCCAGAAAATTCTAGATTTGAGAACAATGGCAGCCTAACAAATCTTGGGTTCATAAATTCTATTATGTTAGTTACATAGTCTTTATTTTAAATAACATTTCAAGAAGAGATCTATATTATACTAGTGAAAAGATATAGATCTAGAACCTAGAGCTTGCTGAAATCATTAATTTAGAGAATCTTAAGGCTTCAAACAATTTTCCGTGGGAGTGGACGGGTCATAGATAGAGAATGGGATGAGCTGGGAGATGGACAAAGCTGAGAATAGGCTGGTAACACATTAGGAACATTTCCCTACACGCGGGTAACAAATCGCCAGTATCACGTTTGAGGTTATGGTTAAGTTTAATCAGTGTTATTAACGTTTTAAATTGTGTTGGATGATCTGACAATAAAGTTCTGTAACGTGTTCAACAATGAAATAAGAACATTCTATTTGGCTGGGTAAAACACCCTAGCCATGTCATCAAGCAATAATATATGACAGCGATCAGCAGCTTGATTAGGGTGAAGAAAGGTAGCCGTGGACCGGAGACCAGCAGCGGTGCCAGACGTGAGCACCGGCACTGTACACACGGTGAACACGGCGCTGTGACCCGGCAAGCCACAACACAACAGGTACGTCTGAGTCAGGGTTGAGCTATTTCAACTCACGCCAACTTCTATTTTTAGCCGTGCCTATTTTGGAAAAGAGAGTTTTCTAGAAGGAGTGAATAAATCGATTAAGAACAAAACTAGCAAAAAATCCAAGCATATTCTTGATACACGACATTTGAGACGAGCAACCCGAGTGGTTTTCTCAACTAGAGAATGTTACAAGAAATTCAATATCATTTGCAGGGATGCACATGTAAAGGTGGTTAACTCAGGTAGCGCCAGCAAGAAAACGATCAACCAAGGTGAGAGGAGGCCAAGGAAGAGGAATAGGCACAGAGGTTAGACATCAGGCGGGCGCAATAAGCCGCAGATACAATATCCTAGGGACACACAATAACATACTACACTACATCAGATACATGTCTATGTACACTGAGATAGCTTTTAACCATCACAGATACACTCAATTATTATTACTCAAAATATTTTTAGATCAAGAGACTGTTGTAAATTTAATAACTGTATAAAAGACCGTGTAGGCGTGTATGTATACGTATGTAACGATACATACGCCTACTTAGCCTTCAAAGCTACAAACTATTTACTATTAGTAAAAGCGAAGGAGAGAGAAAGGAGGAGTGAGGTTTTCATATATGGGATGATAAAACAGTGGGCTTATTGTTCCTGTGACAAGCACATTCTATGTTTAATAAAGAAACCAAAGTAGTGCTTCAGTAAAGGAAGTCGGGCTCTTAATACAGGCATGCCCCCGGGCTACAGTGGCACTTGTGCTAGATGTCAAGCTCACTAAAGCACATCGCCTATGTAAAACCTTAGTGATTTGACCTGATTAGTTATTGATTTCGTTTCGGCATTCAGCTGGTGTGAATTTAAAAGCGATCATTTTCTATGAGCGTAACACCATGTTGTGTTGAGTGAGCTCACCATTAAAGCCAACGCCTGCCAGAGTCTAAGATAAGCAGCAAATCTACCTTGATTCATTATGAGAACTATTCCGGCAGCAACCGTGGGAAACGATGGCATCATCACATTGAGTTTCATTACTACAGCTGTGAAGGGTTGGTGAAGATATTTTTGTCCGTCCCTGACGGTTTTTCTTAGCCCAGACAAATCTTGGTTTGGCCCACTTCAACAGGGGAACTGCTATTTTCTGCTCCAAGGACGGCTAATTTTACATCAGAGAATATAAATATACACAGTTCAACCTCGCCGGTGCTTTGTGTTTATTTCGGTCGGCAGCGTGGCTGGTAGACACACGGGGTAAACCAGCACAGCGATTTGTTGTGTGTTCTAGTCGTAAAACACACGGAACATCGATGCTACACATACACGTTTTCATTCATAAAATCATTTCTACATACGGACACCCAAATTATCTGATGCATCGAACATAAATTAACACATTTCTTCTATTGATACACAATACAACAGTGGCACTTTACAGGTACTTATTTTAAAAACCTTCAACCATACCATCAGTACAGGTGTATGTTTTCTGTTACCCCCCAAACATACCAGCTACAGCACGCGTGTATGTTCCACATTAGATGTTTAGCCCAGAAAACAAGGCCCAACAGCCGTGTCCCGAATCGTGATGCGGCTGATGAGAGTTAAGAGACTACACCTAGGTACAACTTCCGGCATCAAGATCTATGGATTCATACTGCACGGCTCGACAGACGCTACATCTTGTGCCAACATGTACTTTAGCTGACACAATAACATGTTCTACAAAAAAATGTAGTCCGCGTCGTGGTCAAGTTTCTTTAATGAATTAGCCTCCTACTGAACCATTGTTTACAGAGCTAAAGACCCAGCATGCTACACCATTAATACTCGACTAATGTGTCCTATCATTCAATAACATACCAATCTACCAAATGTGTTTCTTATAGCGGATAACGGGTTGGATAACGGTAACTACTGACGTTTTAGCCAAATGTTTTATAGGACTGAATATCACTACTTAGATTTTAATTAAATCTGATCTTTTTATCTAATTGGTGCTAAGTAAATGTAAAAAAAAATGTAAACAATGGAGCAAAAAGATCACATCAGCAATCAATACTGCCAGACAACAAAAACATTATTCAAAACAAAGAGTATGTGGATATATTTCTCAGCAAGTCAAATATACCCTTTATTTTATGAACAAAGTTGTCCAGAACAACAAAAGCGTCAAGTGTTCAGGAACTGTGGGGCCCTTGAAGGGATCTAGACTTGTGAAATAAGGGCCCGTTGTTTGAGCGGTACACATGAGAGATGTGTGTGTTGACGTTTACAGGACGCGGGGAGATCAACATGCAGATGGATTGACCAGCATCAATGATCGCCGGAGCGCAGAAAAAAGTCACATTTCAACAGATAAACTTGGAACAAAGCGAGCGTTCACGTGGTAGAATACAGCGGCGGCGCACAGAGTGCCGTTTGTTAGACAACTGAGATATGTGGGCAGAGAGTTGCGTTGGATGAAAAGTGTAGGCAGACAGTTTCATTGGTTCAAAAATGTAGGAAGATACGTTGTTTGAAAAATGTAGGTAGGCAGATACTTAACTTGAAAAATATAGGCAGATAGATAACTTGGTTGAAAATGTAGGCAGATAGATACGTTGTTTGAAAAATGTAGGCAGGCAGATACGTTGGTTGAAAAATGTAGGCAGTTTCATTGGATGTAAAAGATACAGTTGTCTCGGAAGGAAAAAAAATGACATGAAGTAACAGATGATAGATAACTTCTAGCAGTAAGGCATTTATCTCCCTCACGTCCATCTAATCCTCTACATACATGGACAGTTGTACAGTCTGCATACAGTCGTGTTTATGATCAAGATGCATCAAAGAAGAAAGAAACAACCAACAAAGAAGCTAGTATTGCTCAAATGCATGACGTGGTATTAAATGAACCCCTAACAAAGGAATATTTGTAAGATTAGATAGCGAATGTTGTTTTCCACTTATTGTTGTAATACAAATCCTGGCATAATTAGGGTGAGCATTATCAAAGAAATATACAACCACACCTGTTGAATTTGTAATTTTCTAACAAACTTTTCTTTACTGAAAGCTGGGAGCGATTACATTGGAATAAGTGACCTGAGCTTTTTGCTCTATACTGTAATTGATGATCTTATATTTCAGTTGAACAAAAGCTACTTCAAGAAGTTTGAACAATTCAAAACAATATAAATAACGCACATTTCAGCCCAACTTTGTACCTATGTAATAAAGAAAAGCTACCATAGTTTAAAATATAATTCTGTGTGTATTTATTGTGGAGATGAGTTTTTTTATTAAATATTCCCCCCTACTGCACTGATTAAAGCAAATTTTTTACCCTGAACAACATCACATTTGGTGAGATGAAGAACATCGTATTTGGTGAGACGTTGCCCACTGGAGCTGAAGCGATCTGTTCAAATGGCCAAGTACCTTAGTTATGTATCAAAGCGAATGGTGAGGGGAAGCATATAAAGATGCCACTTAAAGATAACCTGCTGCCTGTTGCAGATAAGCTGGAGGAGACTATAAAATTGTTGGAGGAGACTGTACACTCGCTACTGGGTACAACCTTTAGGCTAGTTACCCTCCCCTACATGCCCATTGGATGGTTGATATACAGTTAATGTCAGCAGACATTAGAACAATAAGCAATAAGAAAATGTGTCATAAGATAGAGTACAATAGTATAAACAAGAAAAAACTATGGTAGTATTCTAAAAAAATTAAGCATTAAATTTATTTTGTAGTCTCTGCTTAAATGAATAGTACAAACAATCCACAAGCAATATTCTGAGCCTTTTTGTCTGCTCCATCATTAGTAGACATACAGTTATGTCATTCAATGTCCTACTTGTAGAATATCAGCAGTTCAGTCCTAAATTATACTATTTCTAGTGAAGGTAAAACAAATAGCCATCTGTTTTGTATTACGAGAAATGTTCAATTCCTGTATAAGGTTAACCACTGAAGTTTTAGACTGTTTAACAGATAGATAACAGAGATTGATGTAGCCAATAAATACCTCAATAATATCCTTATTTGTACGGCTTTCATGTGGTTCGTTGTACTCTGTGTATTTGAGTAGGACCTTGTCCATGTCTGTGCTGGCGTACTGGAACAGTTTGTTGGAGGAGTTGAATATAATGAGAGCGATCTCACAGTCGCACAGGACGCTCAGTTCGTAAGCTTTTTTCATCAGACCAAACTTACGCTTAGTGAAAGTCACCTGCACAGAAAGTAAACAACCTTTATTAGCTACAACATTTCATCTCCACATTAACACAGCTCTTCATCATATACACCTGGAAACTTATTCTTCACACAAAACGTTGAAATAATCATTGTCCCCATGTGGTTACCAATACTTTGGTATTTCAGGTGTATGTACTTTTTATCAGTTAATTCAACTTTTAGTTTAATATGTAGACTACTGTAAGAGCACACAATATATTCCCATAGACTAAAGGGGCTCACCTGTCTGTTTCTCTCATCTCCAATACGGGAGATTTGTATTTTCTTTCGTCCCATGGTCTTGGTGGCGTTTTTAGTTCCCTCCAACGTGATGGCTTGGGTGGAGCGACAGTTTCCGATGAAATGATGAACTAAGTCTGTGTGCCTAGCACTCTAGTTACTTCTACACGGGGCTGGGGTAGTCTCACCTTCAGATCCTCTGACTTAGCTGCGAGCAAACAAAAAAAATACATCATTGTTTGATCAATCAATACACACCATCATTGGGACGTGTGGTATCTGTTCAGACATCTATGCAGAGTAGATTAGTTATACAATTACAGCTATCAAATATCTAAACAATCCAACTACTGAATAATGTGTACTAGTTTACCGAAAACAAAAGGAGCGATTCCATTAGAAAACGAAAAGGGATTATCCTCTCGCTAAGCAGCTTAAGACATTCCAATCAATGATGACATTGCAATACATGAAGACTGACTAAACCAAGTTGAGCTGTCGGAGTGAAAATGAGCCGCCACACACCCATGAAGATACGATTTAACCTCTGAACTGAGTGAACCCATGTGTACACAGGCTGATCAAACAGAACAAAACGATGAAATATAATTCCTTCCCTCAGGAAACCTGGACGACGCCAGGCTGATGTGAACACGTGACAGAATACAAGCCTTGATAATTCTCATTTAGTGAGATGACAAAGTATTTATCTTGTATATTAGATGACCCCCCCCCCCCCCCCCCCCCACAGACACGACAGTTAGTGAGTCAGCTAGTAAATATGACCAGGGGTTGAGGGCAACCAAACAGATCTACCGAAGAAGTGTTACCACTCGCTATCTTACTTTATCGATGGGGCTTCACCAGACAGGTGCATACGCACGCATGTGTAAGAAAAGGGTACGACCAGTTCGTGATCACATGACTGATTTTCTCTGTTCAAATGGAATGACTCTGTTGGATACAGTTTGTTGACGCAAACAGATTCGTGGGTGGAGTCGTTGCACCAGTCTTGAATGCCACAGTTGTCATATGATAATACGACGATTTTATCTGCATTCAACAGGAATAGAGCAGGTAGCGAGAAAATCTCACCTGAGATCCCCCCCCCCATCCACACACCTACAATATTGGAGTATATTCTATAATACGATCAATAGATCATTAAAGCAAATATACAAATGTTGTATTGAAAAGAAGTAGTTTTGGTATACATTAATTGAAGAACCTGGTGTGTTCGAGAAAGAAAAACAAAACAACCCTCACATGGTGTATGAGTCAGCTGAGACTTCAAGTGTTAAAACAATAAAGTCATTATACGTGTACAAGTAGAAACACATGTGAGTTAGAGGGATGGTTAGAACAACATACACTACTTTCTTGTTTGTACACTAGTTATTCCAGAGTGGTTTAGACGTGCGTGGGTCAATAATTACAGACCACAATTTTACAATGTATGAGCTCAACAACTCGGGATATTTCATCTATACAAACAGCACACATGAACGGGTTATTTACAATGAAGTCTGAGCAAGACAAAGACATTATTATAAAATCAGCCATGCAAGATGTTACTAAAACTTTGTTAAAACAAAAAAATAACAATATATAAACTTCAATTTAACACTGTGCTTTTGAAATGAAATACACGAAGACATCGTTCGTGAAAATTCAAAGACAAAGAAAAAAACACACCATTTGTTGGAAAGGTAATTTAGGCAAACCGTTTATAGCGATTTATATATGTGGAATTATGAACAATTATCCCCAGCCATAATTTTCTCATTGTTTCAATTTATGACCTGAAGCATTTTCTATCTTTAGAGTAATGTGCCAGATATGTTTTAATATAATGCTAGAGACAAAATAGAAAATTGTTCTTTACATAAAACTGACAAACTGAAACATATTCTAAAAGATATATTTTTTTAAAGTATTAAGGTTAACAGTATCTCATTTCAGTCTTTAAAAAAAAAGTATCAAACATTAGCGCGAAGAGGAAAAGTATCAAATCAACTATGATAAGACAAGCCTGAATGAGTGAAGGGAATTATGTGTAGGGAAGCCAGTTTAATGGCTAATTTTGCTAGCGCGAGCTGGATTCATTTTCCTGGGTCTTCGTCCGTTCCTACTCCCATCAGCTCTCTATTGGCCATTGTAAGGCTCTTGAGTGGGGACTGACATGATACAGGAGGGATAGCCACAGATCGATACACACATTTCGGTCACTGAATGAATGCAAATATGTAATACTAGAGGAGGCTACATACATCTGTCACGTGCCCAGTGGGCGGGGATTGGAATAAGCATGGACAAACAAGACCGTCCAATATCTCAATCATTCATTGTAATCAGTGTCGTCACTTGTGCGGCTCATGGAGCGATAACTCTTCTCAATGCACAAAACAAACTATAAAAGGGCATTGTTAAATCACAGATAAAATGGCAAGGCATCCATCAAGGAAGTCTCTAGCGAGAAGAGCTCACACACAAAGCTGTCTGTCTTCAAGACAGTCTCCAGCCAGACGCTTTCACAAACAACTACCCGGGCTGTCTACAGGATCCAATCTCGCTGCTCTTTAGCATTGTGTGTTCCGCGTACCACGGTAATTGCCATCACACAGGAGACGTCAAAGGACGGCGATAAGTACAGAATGAGCTCATCTATCTCAGCAATCACGCCGCCCCAATACACCACCTCCTAATACATTTTGTCCACACAATCTTCCACACAAGCGACAACTGGCCTCAAATGTTCAAAAGTAAATTGTAAAACTAACATTGTCGAGACTGTCCACTTCCTGAATGGGCCAGCGAATGTGACACTTGTTCAACAATCGCCAGTCCTGAATGGATGGAATTTGTCAGTTCCCCCGTGAGTTCCCCTCAAACAACCTACTCACACTGTATTATTTGCATTTGTCAAGTTTGTGGTGGACGCAAAAGTAAACAGACTCCTCTATGACCAGTCAAATACAAATATAACGACAAGGCTATGATGGAACATCAATAATGAATTAAGATATCATTTAGAAATTAGAGCAAGGCTATAGTAGATTATAACTTTTTAAAAGAACTTTGAATGATATTAATATATTAAAAAAAAAACCAACTCATTCGTTGCTTTGTATTTTATTGCACATATACATACCGAAAAGTATTTCAAGGATAAACATTTCTAGAAATACCTTTCGTTGAGCTTCCAGTAATACATAGCCATAAATAAGTGACAACAAAAAAAAAACACTACAGGAATTTGTGAGAAACGAACATTGACTAATAACATAACGAGCGAAAAACGAACCAGATATAACTATGAGAAAAAATTAAATGTGGTGGGGTAATGATAACGAAAACTATAGAACCATGATCAGATAGCATTTTAAAATCACAAACATTTTAAAACAACCAACATAAGAGCTGTCTTGTTTGTATAACAATGGCTCACATTAAAGACAACCAAAATAATGGACAGGATAGTCTTTGACGAAGCTATAGATTTTTCTAGAGATGTTCCAACCAAATTATCCTTCCCTTAACCACCGGTCTTTATTCTTCTAGAGCTTTTTTCCTTCCTTCTTCATCTCGAATTTCGGTTGACGTGGATTGTGTGTCTTGAAGAATATTCTGGTGACATTACCGTTAGCATTTGAGATGATGGCGCATTGACGTGAACAGATCTCACACACGCGCACTCACGCCAACACACAAACAGGAGAAAAATCGGACGATAGATCAACATGATGGAAAGGGGAGACCATTCCAGTGTAAAACGAGGGATGTCACTCTAGAATTTAAAATCGATGGAAAGCCTAAAATGTTACACACGTCTCTACCAGATTACTGCCTGTATGTGTATTAAATCATTCAAGGCTTTATCAAATCACGTAGAACCCCAAAGTGTGGCAGAGCTGTACAAGATGTGGAACTAAGTTCAATACCGTCCAGGGGAAGTTTACATTGAGGAATTTTATACAAGTTGGGACTCTGAAAGGAGTTGACACATCAATAGATAATTGTAATCTGTGGATTGGTTGAATGTCCTTCCAATAACGTCCATCAAAAGTGAACAGATCAGTGAAGTCTGATCTTGCAGAGAAAAACAATGCCTCATCCTTACTTAGCGAGTTGTACTGAGGCAACAAGCTGGCTGCCTACAACAGACGAGTGAGTGGAATGTCTACCAAATCCTGTAACACAGGGGTGTGGTTCACGATGCTATCACAGCCATCAGCTTAATGTACTATTAGTATAAGGCCCCAGGCTCGAGCAGCGTTAATCCTGATCAAACACAACAGGTAGAGAGGAGAACGCTGCCAAAGTAGGGACAACGGTGTCTGATAGCTTCAATAAAACCAAAGTCAAATATTATATTGACGTCACGTCCCATCAACACGTGTCCGCTCTTGACAAGGGTTGGTAAGGCTCCAGCACTTGAGTGAAGAGCTGATCATAAACTAATACACACTGGGCCTGCAGCTATAGGGAGAACATTCAACTCAAGACCTTCTTCGTTAGTGGCTACACGGAACTTAAAACACGCTAATGCACAATTTACAAATAAATAACGTTGAAATTAAATCTGAAAGCTTTAACAACGAATAATTAGAATGTGCTATAATCTTTTAAAAATAAACTAATTTTTTCAATAGAAAAATACAAAGTAATTAACAGACAAAATACTAGGTGATCAACAGTGTCAATGAGGTTCATTTCTTGTCAACTAAAATAATCCTTACAGATTAAATTCCAACAATATGTAATGATAATTTTAAATTAAACCACAAAGAAATAATTGTTTAGTTAGTCTGCTAAAATAAATATTTCACCATAGAACAGTAAATTAAGTACTTAGTAACGCCATTAGTATCAGGTACAGAAAGGCCTCTCTGTATTTTGTCAGACATCCTTTGGTCTAATTTTATCTCTGGTTAAACTAAGAAAAATGGAGGGAAAAGGAACCAAGAATATACAACAGGCAAATATATAGGACAAAAAAAAAAGAAGAACCGAAAATAAACATCCCACAAAATCTCAAAATAGAACTACTGATAGTAAGGGGGTAGGTGTCAGCTTAGTTCCCATGATAAGCCTTACCGCATGTAGATCTAGAACTGTGTAAACCTGTGGCAACATATTCAAGCACAGGATGCACAGGTACACACCAGGTAACTATGGCTCGTGTAGTAAGAGCTACTGTGTACCTACCTCAGGTATCTACACACAACAAACTGTGACACGGTATTTGGTCCTCAAATTGTACACAATCAAAATTAAATATTCCAACGCTATTCTAATGTTCATTAAAATCTATCAGAATCTAAAAAGCTTTGTACACACACGCTCAACATGTTTGTAAACTTACCAACACAGCGTGTAAATATTTTAGTTGTATGAGAAAAGACGGTGCTAAGGCAGTAGAGAAATCATTCTCTCCTTCCATCCATCCCTCCAAGCAATGTGTAGTAAGATACGTCAGCAACAAGGCTGCTATTGATGCGCTGTTTATCTCGTGCCTAGCAGTGGATGCTCTCCCCCTCAGCACGAGCTACAGCGCTCAATTACGTGCTGAGCGCTGCAAGTTTGACTGGAATAACTTTTTTAAAAATTCAACCAATTTCTTGGGCTAAAAGGTAAAACAGGTAGACGTAGGTGAGAGAGCTTATTCCTAACATTTCGAATGTTACAACTTAATATCAATGTGCCGAGATACTGTAACAAACAACTTTGCCTTTATTATTTGAAGTGACCATTTTCTGTGTTTAAAATGTGTTCATTATTGTAAAAACAATACATTTAAACCGGACAGGATATAACTCACTATACTGTGCTGAGGCTAACGCGCAGGATTTAAAGTAAATCACTAGTCAAATGTAACTATTTGAAAAAAATCGGTGAAATAATATTTAAAAAAAAACAACAACCAAGAACTACACTCGTGAACTGTTTATGTGGTCAGTATAAAAAAACTGATGAAAACAAATATATCACAATTATTCATCCATTAAAACTGGACGTAGAAAATGTATTTGAATATAGTTAGAGATGGTTAGGGGAGGGAAGAAGGGGATAGACGATGAAAATACAATGTAAAAATTGGCTAAAAAATTACTTCTATGAGTATTAAGAAGCTCTTTTTAACATATTGAAAAAGGAAAGGTTGAAAAAAGGGAGACACACATGATGAATTGCTGGTACAATACACTTGAACATTTCTTAATAAGGTCTGCGTGTCCTTGTCATGTGAGTTTTGGAGAAAAATACTTCAATCGGCATGTGAGCGTAAGTGTCGAGTTTCTATATTTAACATCCGTGGCTGACTCACAAGCAATACAAACACACAATACAGTGTGTAGACAAGAAACTACACACTTTATAACAGCCTTACATTTTAAACACTTAAACATAGCAAATTACTATATCGGCAGTAAAACACTAGGATCTACAGTAATGACACCACACACAGCAGCCCAGTGTACCCGGATATGCAAAAAGGTTGGCAGATTCCCCACATGAACTCACAAAAACTAGGCCTAATCAAACGATGACATCATAAGATACGGTATCTTGTTTTGTTGTAGAAAACATCAACAGTACAGAACAAATCTTCGACAAAGGTTGAAAGATTACACGATAACCGTATAATTGTACATGTTGCCAGGCGCTAATGAATGGTCAATCAACTTCCAGTAAACACGAAAACACATCTGGTACATGTAGGTGTGTGTGTGTGGGGGGGGGGGGGGGGGGAAGGAAGAACACAAGAGCAATAATCTTAACCAACATTTGCGTCATTCAACTTTAATTCTTTATATAGATGTAGAAGGAAGAATGTCCAGCCGCACTTCTAAAAAGGTCCCTGCTCATTTCCTGCCGCTGTTAATAGGTGACACACGACTCAATAGAAGGCATTACGTCGGAACAGGAAGCGGAAAGCGTTGCTATCTTCGCCCACTTCTTTGGTTGGGAAAATTGACTTATCTTTGATAGAAACTGGGCCATTTACTTTGACATAGAATCAGCACTCGAAAATAAATACAATACTGTAGCGTTATCATCTGATTTATTCTTTTAAAAAGCTACTACATAAAAGGTATGTTTTTAGCACATAACTTTATAAAATAGATGTGGGCTATAACCAAATGTGGAGAAAAAGGTTAATTGGCTGAAATACTCCCAAGATAAATAAAGAGCTTTCATCCTGAACATATATACAAACAAATGAGTGTCAGCTATAATCGAGGGAATGCAATGTACGAGTTCAAGTAGCACAGGCCAGAATAACGGAAGTACAAGGGCATCTTGAACCTCAGCACTTGAAAGAATGGTCTGGTCTCGGAAACGAAAGAACCATGGAAACAATAACGCCATGTTTATACAAGAACTTGTCATTGATTGCACGAATTTGAATAACCACATCATTCGGAATAAATGGCTATAATTGCATTATCAGAAAAAAATGACTTGAACTCACCTTCAACTAATACGCTATTTATAAAAAAAAAAGGCCACTTGAGTCATCAATCAAAAGCAAGCAAACAACACGAGGAAACGTTCCCGGGATCCTTAAGATATCCTGATCAAAACATGCCCATTAATTTAGATGGCGACACAATGATCAACACAGTATCCAGGAGAAATATGCTTTCATTACTTTTAAAAATAAATGTATCCATAAAATAAGATCTTATAGATCTAGTGTGTTCACGAATGCAACTGTCTGTTAAAAAAAACCTAGCAAGGTAATGTCAAAACAGACTGGAGATAACGGTGTGTAAGCCTAGAGATAGGATGACATGGGCAGTTGACAGTAAGCGGGCTATGACAATAAGACGCGATGATACAACACATCTGTAATTCTGTCTACACCACGTTTTACCTCTCGCTTTCTTGCACAACTTTATTTTCTTACTACAGTTTTTGTATTCGTCATAATTTTTCTCTCAGCCAAGGACCCCCTCCCCCTCTCTCCCCCCAACCACAGTTTTCGTTGTACATTTTCTGCTAGCCTAACCAACCACTCCTGGTTTGTCACAATCCATGTCCGCCTTACACCCACGACACAAGTCGTCTGACGCTATGTGGCCCGTTAACGACCGACTCAAGCTATGACGTTTGTCTCTTCAAACTAACACTTTATTTTCCCCACTTAACGAAAGCAGCTCTAGATCAAGAAACTGACGTTGGCGTGGTACCAGTATACGTGTAATGTGTTCCACAAAAAACCCACTCAAGCAGAACGGACGAACACAATATCTAGCGATAAACCCAACAACTTTATGTAGTAACAGCTTCTAACCTATTGTTTGGTGACATTCAACGTGTAATGTGTACCCTTATCACATACATAAAAAGCACATAGCTATATATAGAAGGTCTATAGCTATATATAGAAGGTCTGTACAAGTTTCACGGAACGTTTCTAACACACAGAGAAGACGTTTTAAACAACAAAATTAAGTTAACATGTAAGAAATAGCAAGGGACTGAATCGTCTAGTGTACTGTGATAACAGAATAAAAGGTGGTAAATATAACGTGTCCCCCTGAGTTCCACAGAAACCATATATTTCATAACATTTGATACCTCACACTGATATCTCTATCATAGGATGTACAAAGTTAGTGTTAAGAAAGTACATTAGCAAGATTTCTATAGCTCAGGCGAACAGAAAATCCTCTATTGTTCAATTTTGAATTTCTTTCAGTGATATCGAATTTTTTGGACTAAAACTAATTCACACGATACAAATGTGTATGTTCTACTTTATTTGTGATTGAAGGATCTGAGACTGGTGTGTGTATGTTCTACTTTATTTGTGATTGAAGGATCTAAGACTGGTGGTTGAGAACACCATAAAAAGTAATGTGTGGCTAAAGAATTCTGCCAATCAGAACTCTCGTTTGTTTAACTAGCGTGAGATGCAAGTTATCAAGTTGAGTTAAAAAGTGTTGAAGTGTTGAACAAACATAGGAAATGAACTGATATGACAAGTCTCAAGACAATTTGTGCCACAGCTTCTAGGCCCTGTGACGTGACACAAGAAAACAAAGATTCAGCCGGCGCACGTCAAACGTTGACACATGACAACCAATAATACAGCGTAATTAATCTCACGCGCTCTTTGATTACTCTCAATATTCAATCCATTTCTCATATTATTGAATCCAATTAACTGTGAATAAAGAGATAATGACAAAAAAGTAATAACCCGTTAATGCTAGCGAGAATGCTAAGAAGAAAATGGAGATGATTAAATTTTACATTAATGCTAATGTGTGTAACCGTCCATTAACCTAAAAGTAAGGTTAATTCCTGATATTTATTTATAAAAAGTATCAAGATATTTTTTATCAAACGTAGTATTATTTATTCAGTGATATTTTATTTGTGCTTAAGCTTTCAGCATGAAGCCACAATAAATCTTTTGTTGCTAAAAAATAATTGTCCTTCGCTTAGGAATATGAGGATTTTGAATAACATTCTTAAAAACACAAACAGACCGATATTGGAGCGTAAAAAAGAACTTTGAGACAAAGTAAGAAATTTCAATTCGGCTTTTAATAAAAAGTTAACCTACTTTTTTTTAACTTGGACATAGAATACAGAAACACAGCGAGAAACCGAAACTGAGCTATCGTAATGGAATTGCCTTAACTTTCTATTTCCATTAAGTATTGAAAGCTATCAGCAGTACAACCAATACTAAACAACAACAACAACAAAAAAACAACAGGTAAAGACAAATGTTCTCTCTAATAAGGTTACACTTGTCTACAACCGAACGCTAATGAATTACAACTTGGGGGCTACTAAAAAGCACTCTAGCTATTTCAACATGCAAATGGCGTGCAGATTTGCTCGACAGAAAACTTGTGCGGAGGTCGAGGAACTGACTGCTTAATGGATAGCTACAGAGGAATAAGGAGAAAAGAGAAACTTGGCTGAACCAAAACTACGATTTCATCAATCACCTGCATATAATTAGAACATAAAGCCACCCAGACATTAAGTAGCAAACACAAAACACGATTTCTCAGGGTCCGCCAAATTATAATCTATTTTTAACAACGCTAATTGAGAAGTGAGCAACCAATTAATAAGTAGGCTAAACTACATTTTTTTCTTTCAGGATGATGATCTATTTTCAGTGGGGTTTTTTTTGTTGTTGTTGAATTGAATATATGTTTTTATGTGTTTTGTAAACACAGTCCAGGCCATCGTATTTAAAAAAAAAAAATTACTTTTTCTTATTCGCAATGACTCGTGTCTAGATTCTAGCCATTGTACTCGACTGTAGCTTGTTTAGTTAAACATTACTAACCTAGAGTTAACAATGTAATCACAGTATAGACGAAATTTTACTCTGTTACTTAGAGAGAAAAAAACCTCATTTGCCACCTAGAATAATGTGGTGGCGAGGATTTAGAGTTGTCCCCATTGAAAAAATAAATGATACCAAAACTAATCTAAACTACTATTGTATGAAATGACAGAAATAGCCACTCAGATAACTGTTTAGAAAAAATATTCTCAAATACTATTCAACCACACTAGGGTATATTATTCTGACTTAATCATTTAATTTTCAATACGCCACGTTTATGATGAGATGTATATTTTAATCAGATAAAATACACCGCCGCGGGTTCAAATAGCAAAAAGCTAGCAGAGCAAAACTGTTTGAATAAAACGTATTGTTTACTTGAATTGAACATCTACAAATTAAGAAACATAATGCTGCGTGACTCATCGTTGTTTTATTAATATTTTTAAGGGATTTTATGTAACACTATATTGGAATTTGCAAGCGAGTGATTATCGTTGAAGTCTAAAAGAAATAAAGCTGCTCAATATTAAAAAAAAAAAGATGCAAACGTATTTAGTTATAACAAAATGTATGAAATAAGTTTGTGAACGATATAATCCTATCTAAAGGCGTGGGCTCGTGGGGTTTCATACCAGAGTGACAGCTGAATGTCGGGGTTACAGATGTAATCCCTAACGCCGAGTAATCTGGTGTTTACCTCCACTGCTCATGTGCTGGGTGATACATAGCTTTAACGCCTGTATAGTATAGTACACAACGCCGAGCCTGAGAACTTCACCAATGGCTCGAGTAGGAAACATTTCACTCTTCACCATTTATAACACTAGTTTTAAATAGCACAATACGACATCACTTGAAATAAATTTTTAAAAATTTGATAACTGTCGAAACACATTTGATATATATTGGTAGGTCTAATTAAAACTGTCGGCTGGTCGTTTTGGAAAGCATATTTTTTAAAATACTGCTCATCAATCTTGACATTAACCCTAGCCATGGCCCTGCCTATAACCCTAACAACGATACAGGCAAATACTACCTTGTTTTGCAGTGTTTTCTTAAAGAAGCTAATTGAGAATGCTAAGTGTATAATTATATAAAAAAGGGAAAATGTTTTATGATAAAAAATTTAATTTAAAAAATGAAATTAAAAATAACTAGATCTAACACAGACAGACAAGATAGGGTGAGACGGCAGAAAAACGCTCGCCGGAAGAATAATTAAATTAGGCTATTTGAGCGACATACCTGGTTTTCGATTCTTGTCATTGATTTCTTCTAACCTTCCCCAGACAACAAGAGACCGGCACCGCCTAGAACACAGACAACGTTGATGTCAGTGGTAGAAATGTAGGCAGGTCGATGGTGAAATATTATATTAGCTTCTATTTACAACACGATAGATACAAGTCAATACCATTTAGCAGCAATCGCAGGGGAAATGCTAAATGCAGACGCGCGTGCGGAAGACGAGCACGTGAATGACAGACAGGTGACGCCATAAGGGTAAGAGGTCAAATGAACAAAAACGAGACAGATTTCGCTGCATTGTGTGGTCAAGGGGCTACGACAAAGATTCGTGAGCCGTCTTAGAAAGAGCGCCATCGCTTACAAAGGCTGGGGGTCAGAGGTCGGTCAGCCAGTGACATACAGACGATATTAATGTGCAGGGTCAAGCTGAATTATTCCAGTTTGGCAAGTCACGCGGGCCAGTGTGGATTTAACAATAAGATCTCAGAGCTGAATAATTCATGCTCGCGCATCACAACCCGTGAAATCATTTTACAAGCGAAATAAAACTAATAGAGTAAAATATAAGTGGGGTGTTCATCCATACAGTCTTCTACATTAAATAGTGAGAAATTTAAACTATCTCTACATTAAATAGTGAGAAATTTAAACTATCTCTACATTAAATAGTGAGAGATTTAAACTATCTCAATTCTACCTTGATGTCCGTTATGATTCAAGTGTCCTTGTATTGCCTCTCCTCTGCATTTAGCTGTAAGAATGGAACAACGGGTCTCATTAGTTAGTTCATAGATAACACCTGCCCACCCTCTAAAAACATTCTCACATCCTCCGGCTTAAAAAGTAAGGCGGTCATAGAAATGAAACTTAAAATAGAAGGGCGGCTAGTGAAAAAAGTGCCATGCGTGTTTCAAGAAAAGTTCATAATTAGAGACATCAAAATAAGAAAGAAAAAACACTTGATTATACTTTTTCTCCTTTCTTCAACATTGTAAATGCACTAAACCTCTCCCCCACACACACGCGAGTCGTCTTTTAGTTAAATTTTTTTTACAATCAAACTGATTTTTTAAAAATTTAAAAAAATTCTTAGTGTTTTAAATAATTAGCTGAAATTACAATAATTATCTAGTAGTAATAACGTTGTTAATACTTACACAATAATAATAAGTGTAAAACTATCCATGTATTTATTATTCACAACCTCGCACATAAATGTTGAAATGAGCAAAGTATTATAATCCAATCTTTTAGAATAATCCACATGTCGACAATAACTTTTTTTCAACACTAATATTTAACTTTAAGTTAAAATAGCGATTTAATAATGTAATATTTTTGTGTAAAATCCAAAACAACAAGGAATGAGCATGTTTCTAAAATAGCAGCAGGCCTAGTGAAAAGACTGGTCGTACCTTAGGGGTGAGGGCTGCAAAGTGGCGTGATGTCAGGACCACATCAGGACAAGCAAAGCAGTGTTTCCCCCCAAGGTCAAGAAACTGATCCTACAGCCTCGAACAAACAAACAAGCAAACAAACACACACGGAACCTTTGGCAACAAAGAGACCTGGCGCTAGTCTATCGGTCAACATTGTCATGGCCAGCAAGGATTGTAGAATCCAATGCAATAGCCAGCAGGTAGAGTTGCGCCCGGCGTGCAACCCTCCCCCTTCATTAAACAAAAGTTGTCTATGCCAAGTACAAGGGGAATGACACAGACTTGAGGTCACGTATCTTTACATGCACTCAACTCTAAGGTGCAAAGCAACAATTACAAAGACATCCACTTTGCTTTAAATGCTGTTGAAGGAGCACACATTGTAAGATGCATAGCATCCACACACATCTATATCAAAGTTATATTTCCAATAACAATCTTAAAGTCCTACATTTGAGACATGTGTGTATATCAACGCCACGTCATTTCTGGGGAAGACGGAGGGAAAACGACAAGCGAACGTGAAATATTTCCCCCTGACCTTGTAGATGTGGACACAACACACAGACCACGCTAAGAACCTAGAGACCCGAATATTTGCCTTCAGGAACCAACCACAGAAGCAAATTTTAACATTGGCCAAACTATGCCAACACATGGACAGGAAGAGAGACGGGGAACAACAAAAACAACTGGGATTTACTTCCCTTTGACGTAGCCATGTCTCTACTATTCAATAGAGAAAAAAAAAAGTGGAGGTTGCTTCAGGTAAAAGTATAACCAAATATGAGCGGCTATCGAACCCCAGGCAGCAATAATCAAGGTTAATGGCACGCCCAAGTCGTAATATCTGTATGGCTATTCGTGAATTTGTTTGGGGGCGTCCATAAATGACGTCACGCGTCTAAGGGTGAGGGTAAGGATAAACGATTTGCTACATGGGGAAGAGGTTGAGAAATATTTTTACTCTCTAAAAAATAAACATGTGGGGAGGTGTGTGTGCGCGCGCGTGTGTGTGTGGGGGGGGGGGGTTGTCCAGCATTTTTTAAAATAAACTTTTATTTTAAAGACTCCTCTTCCTTCTTGGATTGAAACTTAGAACGAAATTTCAACCACTTCTACCGAAACCGATTTGTTTCAAATTTGACACGCAGGTCAAGACACGATGACAATGCAACGTGACATAAACTTTGGCATAATTATATTTTTTTATTAATTAAAAAATAATAAATAAAGGTTGATAATTGTACTGTATTTGTCGAATTGCGTTATTCTGGTGCTCAAGTATTTTTAATTAAACGATTTGATTCTATTAAAACTATATAGGCCTAAGTATTTAAAAATAGTAAGTCAAACTAGTAAATAAGTAGTTCTCTTTTCGAAACAGACGGTCCATGGGGCAAGTGAAGTAGAGTTCACCTGTTTCTGTGACTTTGGCATATGAAGGGATAGTGTGGTCCATAGCATTTACCACACTATCCTTTCATATGCTGAAGTCACAGAATTATATATTTTTAAGAAAACCATCACTATATTGCGCAATTTAGTGCTCATATTATACACTATTCGGTTAATTTTTGTATTAGGAAGGAGGGGCTGACTGCCCAGTGGGTTAACAAAATAAGTCCACAACTGCTGTCGCTAATTAGGGAAGTCATAATTTAAAGCCCATTGTTATATTTTAAAAGAAAACACATTGGCGACTTGAAGCGCAACGTCTCCAGCGCCCTTCGACCTACATTTAAATTTAAATGTTAGTTTGAATTCAAAGTTTAAATTTTTAAATGTGTTTATTGTAGAATTAAGAGGTGTGTGTTTTAGTACGTAATGAAATTTTAAAAATTTAGAAAGGAAACCAAGGGGCAAATAAGTAAGGTTATTTTTTCAGCCTAAATCATAAATCGCGCACGAGGCACCAAAAATAGCGCATCGATTTTTGTTTCTCCCACTAAAATAACATGATACGGCTTGTAAAGGGGCAGAGTGGCGAGTACGAAATGCCAAAGCTTTCATCTTTACGTCATAGGCATTGTCGCGAGCACTGCCAACAGCGAGTCAGCGAAGTCACGAAACAACAAAACTTGTTGCGGTAATCAAGGCCGCCAATGACGTAGACGAGAGAAATAAATAACAACAGGATAATTACATGGCGATGAGCTGAAAAAGGAAAAGAAGAGGGGGTTGAATGATGTTATTTTATCAAGTGTCAACCAACTTGTTGCTCTCTTCTACAATTGAATTTTATAATGACATTTGTGTAAATATGGATACGAGATCCTTGTTCTTTTTATAGATGAAATTTATGTTTAATGACTAATTGTTTCTTCCACTTTTATATGGTACAAATAACTAACAAAAACATGACACTGAAAATAAAACGCCAAGTGAAATAAAATGACTCGATATTGCATGTCATTTTAACAGTCTTGCAATATTTATTACAGTCTTTTTTTAAGTAAATCAACGGAACATTTTTTTCGTAATTCCAAATTCGAAGTTTTCAAAGGAAAAATAAATGACACTTCATTGATATTAGTTATCTGAATCACAAGTTCTAAACAATGACTACTAGTAATGCAAACACATAGGTTACTAATAAGCAAGTGTTAAGCGGCATATGAAACTACATTTTAAAACTTCATTTTAAGAAAACAGAGTGAAGTTGGTAGTCATAAAAAAAAAACCTTGACTGTTTAAATTCAGTCTCAGAGAATAGGCTGAAAGATATAGATCTAAGGGATTGGGTCACACAAGTAATCCAGGATTAAGGTGGCCATGTCGTCACAAGATCAACGCTGATACTGTCATCGATGTCCGATTTCCTGTCACAGATGACCTTATCAAAGTGTAGAGGTAGCCTGACGTCATGATCAAAGGGCGGAACTACTGGGTGGGTAGTTGATACAAGTGTAGAGGTAGCCTGACGTCATGATCAAAGGCGGAACTACTGGGTGGGTAGTTGATACAAGTGTAGAGGTAGCCTGACGTCATGATCAAAGGGCGGAACTACTGGGTGGGTAGTTGATACAAGTGTAGAGGTAGCCTGACGTCATGATCAAAGGGCGGAACTACTGGGTGGGTAGTTGATACAAGTGTAGAGGTAGCCTGACGTCATGATCAAAGGGCGGAACTACTGGGTGGGTAGTTGATACAAGTGTAGAGGTAGCCTGACGTCATGATCAAAGGGCGGAACTACTGGGTGGGTAGTTGATTCAAGTGTAGAGGTAGCCTGACGTCATGATCAAAGGGCGGAACTACTAGGTGGGTAGTTGATACGTCATGATCAAAGGGCGGAACTACTGGGTGGGTAGTTGATACAAGTGTAGAGGTAGCCTGACGTCATGATCAAAGGGCGGAACTACTAGGTGGGTAGTTGATTCAAGTGTAGAGGTAGCTTGACGTCATGATCAAAGGGCGGAACTACTGGTGGGTAGTTGGTACAAGTGTAGAGGTAGCCTGACGTCATGATCAAAGGGCGGAACTACTGGGTGGGTAGTTGATACAAGTGTAGAGGTAGCCTGACGTCATGATCAAAGGGCGGAACTACTGGGTGGGTAGTTGATACAAGTGTAGAGGTAGCCTGACGTCATGATCAAAGGGCGGAACTACTGGGTGGGTATTTGATACAAGTGTAGAGGTAGCCTGACGTCATGATCAAAGGGCGGAACTACTGAGTGGGTAGTTGATACAAGTGTAGAGGTAGCTTGACGTCATGATCAAAGGGCGGAACTACTGGGTGGGTAGTTGGTACAAGTGTAGAGGTAGCCTGACGGCATGATCAAAGGCGGAACTACTGAGTGGGTAGTTGATACAAGTGTAGAGGTAGCCTGACGTCATGATCAAAAGGCGGAACTACTGGGTGGGTAGTTGATACAAGTGTAGAGGTAGCCTGACGTCATGATCAAAGGCGGAACTACTGAGTGGGTAGTTGATACAAGTGTAGAGGTAGCCTGACGTCATGATCAAAAGGCGGAACTACTGGGTGGGTAGTTGATACAAGTGTAGAGGTAGCCTGACGTCATGTTCAAAGGGCGGAACTACTAGGTGGGTAGTTGATACAAGTGTAGAGGTAGCCTGACGTCATGATCAAAGGGCGGAACTACTGGGTGGGTAGTTGATACAAGTGTAGAGGTAGCCTGACGTCATGATCAAAGGGCGGAACTACTAGGTGGGTAGTTGATACAAGTGTAGAGGTAGCCTGACGTCATGATCAAAAGGCGGAACTACTGGGTGGGTAGTTGATACAAGTGTAGAGGTAGACTGACGTCATGTTCAAAGGGCGGAACTACTAGGTGGGTAGTTGATACAAGTG